CGGATGGAGTATTTAAAAATGACAATTGACGATGGCATTCAAAATCTTTATCATCATACGTATGTATTCAATTTTGAAATAAAATTAATTGTTAGCCCACTGCAATCGCCCAACTTATGAAATTAACTAATTAAGCTATTATGCATTAGAGTATGCATCAGTGCATCACTCACAAAAGTCTCAAAAAGCAAGTCTATTTCATTCTACTTACGACCATCTAGTCATATTACTTTAATTTCCCATGAGAAAACATTTGGTATACTATTTTACTTTTTATTTGCTCCATTGAACATACATAGGAAGTACAAAGTACTAAAAGTTGTGTCAAACTTTATAGAAGGAGAAATTATTAGTATTTCCTACATACCCACATATTCTTATGATTCTACTCCTAGATTAGCTAATAAGCTTTTATTTTATTAGAACAATTTTTCTTTAAGTTTAACAATTGCCTACATAACATCTTCCTTTTATTTTTATTTGACATATTTATTTAAACATGTTTGCTGATTAACAATTAGTATTATATACACAATTAGAATATAATATATACAACAACGTAAATTTTTACAGAATATTGTAACACATAGTAACTAATTTGTAAAACTAAAACGTGTTAATTAAAAAGAAATGAAAGAAAATTTCTTTGAATATAGATTTTGGCCTAGTTTTCCAAGTGACAATTAACCTAAATTAAGCTTTTAACTATTTACTATTTTTACTGTACTACCTTTGCCACCGGACCCACAACCTTGTTGTGGCCACGGCTTCTTTCACCCTGTCCCCCACTGTCTAGTTAGTCATTAGCTGTAATTACCAATTAGTAGCCACATTCTCTTAATTTAATTGTGAGTTGATTGTAATTATTGTTGCTAATGACGCTAACCCTTAGCTCAACATTGACTAACAAAATCCATTATTCAAAAGCTATATGCAAGTATGCAACTTTTTTTTTCTTTTTTGGGTAGGTAAAGAGAAAGTTCTACTAGATGAAAATATTGGGACTAGGGTGTTCATCGGTCTAAAACCAGACCGGACTGAAGACCAAAAAATTGAATTTAAAGAACTAAAATCAGACCGATTAAGTTAGGACCGGACTCGGATCGGACCCATTTTAGAATTTTTATAAAAAAAATCTCCTAAATTTTGTATAATTTATGGGAAAAAAAATGAAAAACAATATTTTAACGTCTTTTTTTGTATGTTTAGTATAAAAAGGCTCGTATGAATAAAGTGTTCAAGCTTGGTAGGATAATTTTAATCATTATTAAAGGTTTTATGTATAATTCTAAGCAAAAAAACCGGTTTGGTCCAAGACCGGTTTTTTTATAGGATTTTGGACCGGACTGGAATGAAGACCGTAAAAACCAATTATTTCTCGACCCATAGACCGGATCGATTAATTTTGTCCGGTCCATTTTTCCGGTTCGGACTAAACTTTGAACACCCCTAATTGGGACTATTTATGGCTAATTCAGCTCTAATTAATTATTACTATTTCATGTGTCTTGAATTACGTAGACTATGACTATTATAATAGATTAATAGGTGTTCAAATAAATTAATGAACAAATCATATAATCATATATTGCTTAGCTAGATTTATTATACTCCCTCCGCCCACAATTATCTGCAACATTTGTCATAAATGGGTGCTCTCTATTATGTGCAACAATTTTTTATTTTTTCTCTTCTAGTAAATTTTAAAGTGTAAAAAGACCATCTTACCAAACTTAAACATATGGGACCACCTTTCTCTCTCCTATTTCCCACTCACTTTAACCCACTAATAAACTTAAACATATGGGACCACTTTCTCTTTCTTATTTCCCTCCTTTTTACAACTTAATTAAACCCACCTAAACTTAATTAAATTACACTAAAAGTTTTGCTTAGGAGTCCGCAAAGAGGACGTTTGGTGCAGATAATCGTGGGCGGAGGGAGTACGTGGTTCACTAAGGCTTGCCCCTGTTACTAACAATGTGTTAGGTACGCCTACAAACAATGAGAGATTAATACTACCTAGTAACTAAAGAGTTAATATAGAACTCGGTACTTCACATCAGCCCAAATATAGGCCAAAAGTAAAACCTTAACCTACATGGATTAACAAATATTGGAAGTAAGCATATTAACTTATTAAGGCATAATGACGATGAGAAAATATTATCCTTTTCGTGTGCATCCGATGCATCAGATCGATCACATGCTTAATTCCACGCCATATCATGTTGTTAATATTCGTATTGGATTTTGTTGCACGAATAAATGCTATTGAAATAATGTTGTGCATTACGCAAGCAATTTTAGAGGAAGTTTCATGCAACTAAATTTTACTGTCGATTGTGGTGGAAACAGGAAATCTAGGGAATATGCCTATCATCATCCTCCCTGCGATGTGCAAAGAGAAAGGCAGTCCTTTTGGAGCACCCGATGTTTGCGAGCGCTATGGTCTAGCCTATGCTTCACTTTCAATGGCAGTAATTTGCTACTTTTAGCTTATATGTTATTCCTTCCATTTCTAAAAACTACTACAAACTATAACGACTTATTATGAAATACAGGGAGTATAAGTGTGAAATGAAAAACAAACAAATTTACGTATCAGATACAAGAATTTTCATGTGGTTTATTTGAATCATGTAAAGTTCATATGAAACATTGTAGGTTACAAGTCATTCAAATTGTGTCACATACATATCTGATGTCTAGTATCGATGGACTTGTTATGATAAACTACTAATCAATATTTGGCGTGTTAGTAATGGCTTGGGTTAAGCTCATTGTGTATAATTTTCACAAAATTTCAGATTGGAACCGTATACTTTTGGCTATATGCCTACAACATAGTTCGAATCACTTCGAAAGAGGCCATAGCAAGTGCAGGTGTAATTGATGAAACGTTGGTGAATGTACAACCACAAGGAGAACCACCCTTACATTCTTCAGATGATTACGCTCTTGAAGATCCAGGCCTTTCCAACTCTTCTAAATCAATGGTGATATTAAGTTAAATTTTTATGTACAAATAACATATGTTTTTAATCTCCGTGCCAAATTTGTGTGAGAAATTAATATAAGACGAATTTGTGTTAACAGGTTAAATCATCTTCAAGGGTAAAGCAATGCTTAAGAATTATCTCCAAAGAGTTCAACCTTAAGGCAATTTTAGCACCTTCAACTATTGGAGCGGTATCAACGTCAAACAACAACCATTTATTGAAAAATATATACTACGTATATATTATTTCCTATTGAATATACTGAAGGAACTAATCCTTTTTTAAATTTATCCCTTATTATTTTGATGTAGATGGTTGGATTTTTTATTGGGACGATTGCTCCACTTCGTAAGCTGCTCATGGACAATACTCTTCATGTTGTTGGGGACACAAGTTTCATGATTGGGTATGTAATAAGCTATATAATAATAACTCATCCTGGATTCTTTAATAATCGCTACAATTTTACTTTCCACATTGCTACTTTAAGCAGTGGTTAAAGATGAGGAAGTCCCAATTTCTCATAGTTATGACATTTTCGTAAATAAACCAACAACTTTATTCAATTGTGGAGCCCACAATAATGAAAAAGTTGTTGATTTATTCACAAAAATGCTATACAAATTTCGTTTCTCAATATGAGAACCAGGGAATTTCCCGTCAAAGACTAATCTACTTCCTAGTCATTAGCTTAGCATAATTCCTACAGTTAAGTTTTAACTGTATCTCTTTTCAATTATGCTGCAATCCTCACAGAGATGCAGCCATCCCTTGTTCAATATTGATACTGGCGCCAACCTCCTGAGAGGTACTAATACTTGCACATCTCTTTTGCTTCACCACTCCACAATCTAGCTTTGCTAGTAATAAGTTTTTGATAATAAAGAAATGGGTTTCTTTATTTATCAGGTTTAAAGGGATCAGGAATTCGAGTTACAACAATTGTGGGAATAATAGCAGTTCGGTACATATTCCTACCCTTGTTGGGCATTCTTGTTGTTAAGGGTGCTGTACTAGCTGGGTTTGTGCAATCACATGATATATTCCTTCAGTTTGTTCTTCTGCTTCAGTTTGCCCTTCCTCCAGCAGTAAGCATCAGTAAGTATTATACAGTATCATAATCATCCTACCAAACTATTCTGTGGATTTAATTATTACAGAATCAACTAATACAACATGATTATGATTGGTTTATGTTAGTTTTCAGCATTTTTATGATTCAGTAACTAATGAATGATTTTGATGCTGATAACAGGTACAGTGACAGAGCTGTTTGGAGCAGGGCAGAATGAATGTTCAGTTATCATGCTATGGACTAATGTTTTGGCTCCGATAACACTCACTCTTTGGTGCACATTCTTCCTCTGGCTACTGGCTTAACAAGGCCGAACGATTCTTAGAACCAAATCTTTCTCATTAGACAACATCAGTGATCAGTGAAGGGCTAACAATGGGATTATGCAGACATGAAGACGTTGTCTTCAGAAATACGTCGTTTGTACTAGTACAGTAGGCAATTTATCTTTAGAAGATCAGATTTATTAGAATATAGATAGGAATTTGAAGAGAACTCCAGGTCTCCTGCAAACATTCTGGTTTTTACTTCACTATTTTGATGTAATTCCTTCTTAAGTCCAGTTGATCTAGTTTAACTGTCTCGCTAGGAAAAACTTAAGACCAAAGGTGTGAAAATTAGGTTTGTTAAAAATGTTGTCTTAACACTATTCCCATTTCAAGTTCCATCTGTTCCCAAAAATTCTTCCCAATTGAAATCTTAACACTATTCATAAGGTGAAAGAATTTTAAAGTTAGTTTGAATATATAAATTATAACATATTCATGTTAGAGCTTATTTGATTCGTTAGATCTTGATGAGTAGTTTATTAATACTCGTTATTTAATTATTTGATTCGTCTCATCAATGAATATATAGATTATAAATATTCAATCATTTGATTTGTTTCAATGAGTAGATTCTTAACATATTAACTTATGATTCAAGCACTAACAAATTTGCCATCTGACCGTTCTTCCACTTGATATAAGAACAAGGCCCCTCAATAGATGTTTCCAATTGCCATATAAAGTAGTTATAAAATACTTTTAGTGTATACTTAAATATCCCATTACCAATAGCTTTTGCCAAAAGACTAAACTGTTTTTGCTTCTATTACCTATATTATTATTATTGCAAGCAAGTGCATGCTTTACTAATAATTTTGTAGTTACCAAGAGTTAGAAAAGAGATATTCTAACACTTAGCTAATAACAAGTTTTTTTTGGGAAAAAAAAATGAGGTCTTTGTTTGATCTGTTTATTGTTGCTTCAATGCCTATTTTGAAGGTTCTTTTGATCACTGCCTTAGGCTCAATTCTTGCCATTAATCGTATCGACATCTTGGGAAAGACGGCCACACATCATCTGAACAAAGTTGTTCATCTTTCTTCTAAAGCATTTCTCCCCTCTTCCTCCTTTATAAATGTATATGTTAGGTTTTAGAGATGAACTCATAGCTTGTTTTCTTTTGTGTTTGCTTATAGCTTGTGTTTTTTGTTTTTGGTCCTGCACTGGTTGGTAGCAACTTGGCTAAGACAGTCGCCATAAAAAGCTTTCTTACTTTGTGAGTTATTTTCTCTCTTGTTCCACAATTTTTCCTATTTCTCGTTTACATCTATACAAGATTATTTTTGAACGGAGAGAGCTATCGATTAATAGCAGTACTTACATGTGCATGTTGTGATTATTTTTTTTCGTTTCGTATTAATTGCATGGTAATAGATGGTTCATGGTAGTAAACATCTTGCTTACATTTCTATTGGGGTCAGCAATGGGTTGGGTACTTGCTAAATTAACGAAAGCTCCAAAGCACATCAAAGGCCTCATTTTGGCATCTTGTTCTGCTGGTAATTTTTATAATTCATCCCATCTCTTTACTTTTATTTATGAAATACTAGTAGTTTTGGCATCTAATTTTACTGTAAAACCAGGAAATCTAGGGAATACCATCATCATTCTCCCTGCAATGTGCAAAGAGAAAGGCAGTCCATTTGGAGCACCTGATGTTTGTGAACGCTATGGTCTAGCTTATGCTTCACTTTCAATGGCGGTAAATTTCGACATCTAGCTTCTTTCACCTTCTACCAAACTTTCCCCAATTCATACTGAATGCTCTCCTTCCATTTTGGCATATCTAAATTTAATCCAAAATTATTGTGATTGTTATATGTATTTATTCAACTCTACATATCACTACTCCCGTCTATTTAAACTATTCAACTAACAGAACAAAGGGGAGTACATAACTCAAGACAAATACAAACTATTGCAACTAATGGAATAGAGAGTATATACAAACTGATACAAAATAAGAAAAACAAAATTATAAACAAAATTAATAGAAATACTAAACAATACTATAACTGTTAGTTGATAAGCAAATTAACAAGCTCATTTCTAATTAATTTTCTCAAAATTTCAGATTGGAACCGTGTACTTCTGGCTATATACTTACAACATAGTTCGGATCTCTTCGAAGGAGGCAACAGCGAGCACAAGTGTAACTGATGAAACATTAGTGAATGTACAACCCCAAGAAGAACCACCCTTGCATTCTTCAGATAACTATGCTCTTGAAGATCCACCTCTCTCACACTCTTCTAAATCAATGGTAAGATTCAGATGATAATTTTTTTTCTTTTCCTTTCCTTCATTCAAATTTTACATAGTTTTTCGTATACATTCAACATATGTTTTTAATCTCCTTGGTGAATTCGTGTTGAAAGTTAATTATAAGACGGGTTTATGTTAACAGGTTAAATTGTCTTCCAGGATAAAGCAGTGCTTAAGAATTATCTCCAAAGAGTTCAACCTTAAGGCAGTCTTGGCACCTTCAACTATTGGAGTGGTAATTTCATCAAATAATAACCATTTCTGTAAGATAATTTATATCCTAATGAATATAATACTGAGATACTATCCCTATCTATTCCCTTTATTTTGTTGTAGATGATTGGATTTTTTATTGGGACAATTTCTCCGCTTCGTAAACTGCTCATGGATAATACTCTTCATGTTGTTGGAGACACAAGTTTCATGATTGGGTATGTAATAACTAATAAGCTATGAATTCTCATTTCATCAGTCTATAAAATAAAACACATCCTCAATTCTTTAATAATCGCTAAAGTTTGACTTCAACATTGCAACTTCAGCCATTGGTTACAGACTAATTTGACTTTCAGATTGGCTTGGCATAGTTTTTACAATTAAGCTTTATCAGTATCTAGAACTGTAAACTCAATCTTGTCAATTATTTTGTAATCGACTCACAGAGATGCAGCCATCCCCTGTAAAACCTTGATACTCGGCGCCAACCTACAGAGAGGTACTTATTACTTAAACATCTCTTTTGCTTCACTGCTGCATATTTTAGGTTGCTGGTAAGTTTTTAACGAAATTTAAATTTTCAGGTTTAAGGGGATCAGGAATTCAAGTTGCAACAATTATGGGAATAGTAGCAGTTCGGTATCTATTTCTTCCTCTGCTGGGTGCTCTTATTGTTAAGGGTGCTGTTCAAGCTGGGTTTGTGCAATCGCACGATATATTCTTTCAGTTTGTTCTTCTGCTTCAGTACACCATGCCTCCAGCAGCTAGCATCAGTATGTACATCATTATCCAACCAAACTGCCCTTTGGAGTTAATTATTACAGATTCCAGTAATACAAAAAAATTATGATGGTCTATGTTAGTTTTCAGCATTTTTTTTTTTTTTTTTTTTTTTGGCACATGTTATATTTTTCAGTAACAAATGAATAATTTTGATTTGATGCTCATAACAGGTACAGTGACAGAGCTGTTTAAAGCAGGGCAGAATGAGTGTTCAGTTATCATGCTTTGGACAAATATTTTGGCTCCGATAACACTCACTCTTTGGTGCACATTCTTCCTCTGGCATCTGGCTTAACGACATTGAACGTTTCTTAGAACCAAATCTTTCTCACAAGACAACATTAGTGACTGGCTAACAATGGGATTATGTAGACATGAAGACATCATCTTCGGTTTTACGCTGTATGTACTAGTACGGTAAGCAATTTTTCTTAGAAAATGGGGATCAGATTTATCAGTTTTACTTCACTATTTTGATGGTTTCTTGCAAATAATTTGATTTTATTTCACTATTTTGATGTAATTCCTTTACAAGTATTCCCTTTGTATTCAACTGAAAATTTTAAGACCATAAAATGGAAATTACAATCATTTTGTTAAAAAATTTATACTTGCAACTTATTCACATTTTAACCAGTTATAATATGTAGATGTCATTTGGTATTTAGTACTACTGAAATTCGATAACACTTGTGCACATATATTTAAAAAAATAAAAATAAAAAAAAAATTCTTGACAGGAGTGAACAACACATAATAATGGCTTTAGCACAAATTAATGATACAATTATGGCATAATTCTAAAGGGCTGAAGATTACAACATCAGGGACATTTTTTGGCGTGTAATGTAATGTGTATATACAATTATACAGCACAATCAAAGGACTTAAAGAATTTTTAATTGGAGTTTGGCATGGCCAACCCTTTCTTTGTGCCTTTCAAACAAGTCTTGTAGCGCCTCAACGTACTGGCTATGAATTTCCGAAATCTACCAAAATGTGGAAGAAATATCTGTTAAAAAAGGGTGAAATCCACAAAGGAAATCCACATTTTTATAGCCAATCGCTTAGGACCAGGCACGTAAAAGGGACCGGAATGAGGAATCTAAGGAAGATCTATTACAGAACTCAGGCTATTGACCATTACTATAGCACCAAGTATTACTCGTACTTATGAGTGACTACATTAGTTCATTGCTTTGTATTACTGTTATTTGGATTCAACATGTGTGATTGTGTGGGAATTGCAAGCTAAAATTCAATATCAATCCAATGTGTTACCTAGCAAAGAGAGATTTCTTGTTGGGGGGGGGGGGGGGGGAGAACGTTTTTATAACGGCAGCAGTGAACAAAAGTAATTAAAAAAAAAAAGACATTGATGATTTTGGAACGCAATAGAACCCATACCTCTTCTGCAGTGGGCTGTGGATTTTGCTTAACATCTATTGGTCGACCAACCACCACATGCATTGGAACCCGATAAGGTAGAGGAGAACTGCAAGCACAATTAAAACTTGATTATGAGAAAGCAGAGGAAAATATTACACAGTGACAGATCTGGATATCAGCCAAATGTCCACAAGAAGATATTAAGCAATAAACAACATAATAATTCGTCATAGCTAGATCCCTCCTCAAAAATATAGACGTATCAGATTCTCAACTAAGGCCTTGTACTTTCCATTATCCTTACACCATTCCTAATTATAGTTCTCCTTTTGCACAGTTATCAAGATTGAATTCTGGCTGATACTTAACCATCCCTAACCATCAACATTGTCACATAATCCAGAAAGAAGCTGATCTAATTCTTTGTTTCATATCCCCAAAACATTATAGCTTTTGGGATTCTAGTAGAGCATTTTCCAGAGCTGTTATCCCAAATTCAAAACATGCTACTATGCTAAATTGCTAGTCTGCAATTCTGCAAGTGATACTATCCCAGGTCAACTAGCATAACTCTTAACAAACTTATATCTGTTCCACATCACTTATTTGGACTTTGTCATTCTCCGCTGTCACTAAAAGAAGCAAACAACATTTGACTTAAACTTGGGGATGTAAGTCCCCCTAATCCCTCTTTCATCATCGAGAATGCTGGGAAGTATAGATAATAGGATGTTGGTTTCCCACATAGAATTTCCTTCTATAGCTACAAAAGCAACCAAGGACACTTGCAGAAATTGTGAATCTGCAATGGAAGGAGACAAAGAAGTGCCACCCTGAACCACTTATAATTACCTTTTGGAGCCCAGGTAAGGGCCATTGACCAGAGAATTTTATCAACGAATACATAAATTTTCCATTAAACTAAGAAAATAAACAAAATTTAGAACTTACCCAAAAAGTCCCCAGAAAAATATAGGGGTGAATCTTATAGCTCTGGAGAATTGCAAGAACAATTCTCCACTGGGCTTCCACCATTTATAGGCTTGTGACTGCGAAAAAATGTAGACAAATAGACAATACATTACTACTTTATAACTCATTATAGACCATAAAATAATGTTCTTTCTTGTAAAACTTCAGCTGTAAATTTTAGCAGAGTACACAGTTAGTGAACAACACAGCACCTGACCAAAGCTGAAAACTGGAACCACTGGGGTGCCCATTTCCAAAGCTAGGCGAACAAATCCTTTCCTGTTCTTAAGAAAAATGACCTGAAACAACGAAAGTAGCCAAAGCTAAGCAATCACTAAAATCTAGCTAGCAACGATTGAGCCGGAAATGAAAAGGAGCAATACGAAGCTCATCAAGTTACTATAAGGAGAGAGTCCTCCTCCAATAGAATTTGGGCATGACAAGCAGACAACCACATAATACGTAGCATGCAGAACAATACCTCAGAGCCATGTTCCATATGAAATGTCTCTTGTACTCCACCAGGCACTATAATGCAACTATAACCTGAAGACAGGCAAGCTTTAAAATTCTTTCTAGTTGCCGGAGATAGGCCCAACCATGTCCATATATGCCTCAAAAATGGAGTGTAGAAAACCTACAAAATAGAACGAGATAAGACGCTGAAAAAAAAAAAGGCACAAGAAGGTGACAAAGTCAGAGGTGGAGGACTTACAGCAGAACTAGCAAGGACCTTAATCTTTGAGAAAGGCATAAAACCCGTGAGATCAGCAAGCGCAACAACACCAATCGGCAAAACCGAGTGTGGCTCATAGCCAAAAACTTCATATAGCATACGACATGACATTAAATTTGATGCCTTAAAAGGGCGAACTTTGTTGCACAAGCAATTGAACTCGGTCCAACAATACACAGCAAACAATGTGTCATAACAACCATAATCATTGAAAGTCAAACTTTCTCTTTTCAATATGAAATCCAATATCTATGCCATGCTTTTTAATACTACAAAATAACCTTGATTCTCAACATTTACAACAACTGAAAACAAAATAGGACATACAATTCCTAACTCCCTTAACAACTAGTATAGCACACATTTTTCGATACACGAATTTCCTCAATTAAACTATACTGATTAAATCCAAAATTAGTAAAACTTGACAAAATTGGAAATATTATCTCTATGCAAAAAATATTAAAACATATCTCATACAAATTCCATTTATTACATACAATTAATTATAAATTTTCAAGCAAAGTATGTTTTACTGCTTATTAATTAGCTCAAATAATGAGATAATAACATAAAAATGAAGTTACCATAAGCTCGATTTCGATCAAAGGCATTATAATCTTCGACATGAAGTGTAATCGGAAAATAACCACAAGCATGTTTACATATAAACCTGCAAAATGACCAAAAATTCATCAAATTCCACAAAATTCAAGCTCAAAATCTTAAATCTCAAATCGAAGCAAAAATCAACAATTTACCTAGCTAATTTCCGCCCAAATTTGTCCTTCTCATTGATCGGAATAAAAATTAATATCAACAACACACAGCAAACCCTAAAAATTCACAAAAACAAACACATAATCAATCCTAAATCAACTTCAAATTAAAAAAAAATAAAAAAAAAATAAAAAAATGAAGATAAGAGTAGAATACGAACGTTAAGGCTTTAGAAAGAGAGAGAAAGAGGAAAGAAGATAAAACAATGGCGACATTGAAATGAATAGCACCAAGCCAAATTGCGACGGCGAGAAACGTGTGAAACGTGGAGTCGCTTTTTCCGGTGAACGTCGTAATTTCCGACGAAGTAGATGAGGTGAGTGGTTTCTCTCTCTTCGTTTCTGACACCTCCATTATTACTCTCTTACTTGCAGAGTACAACTTTGATTTCTCTCTCTAAAAAATTGAATTGAATTAAATATAATTTATAAAATATTGAAAAGAAAAAAGGGTTGAACTTTTTTGGAAAAAATTGATTGAAAAATGTAGATGCAGAAAGTTCTAGGGAAGTGAAAATGAAAGAGGAAAGATAGATGTTTGTTTGTATTTATAGCGTTTGATGAGACGCAAACTAGTTTAGAATTTTATTAACGATCGATTCATGGATATGCCACGTTTTTGTTTTATTTGGATTTTGTTATACGTGACGTCTTTGCTCATTTGAAACACATTAAAAATAAAATAAAGCCTACGATTGCTTCTAAGTGTTTTATTGGATTAATCCGACTCAACCTAGCAAGGTGGGTTTCTTAAGAGATGAGGAGGATATGAAGAAAATAAGAAACCAACTAGTTGAATGTTGGTAGCTATGGGTGAAAGTTCGGTTTTCGGTTTAGTTTTTTACCCAAACCGAAATCGAACCATCACATTTTGGTTTCTTGATTTTGCAAACCACACCGCACCACTTTAGCTTTGAAATCGAACCAAACCAAACCACCTAAATTTCGGTTTTCTTAAAAAAAGAAAAAAAAAATTCAAACCGCACCGAACTTTCACCCCTATTGGTAGCTGGTATAGTAGCATTGGGACTGCATTTGTAAGGAAAGATTGTGTGTTGATTTCCTGAATAATAATTGAGAAGGAATTGGAATCTAATCACTTAAAATCGAGTATCGAATTCGAGGTAGTCTGAAAAAAAGAAAGTAAGGAACCCACCCTTAACTCCTTAAATACTTAACTATATGTTAAGGTATATACCCTATATGATTCTTCTGAGATTATATCTAACGAGCTAGTGAGCTACAAAAAGACCATACCTTGCACAAACTATCTTTACTCAACATAGCAAGATACGGAGTAGGTTTCTTAAGAGGAGAAACTAACCCTTAAAGTAATTCCTTATTCCCGGTGGCTTTAATATGTTCATAGATGGTTGTATGAATGTATCATGTATATATTTCTGCTTTTTTTTTTTTCTAATTGCAAGGTTACTACATTCGAATAAGTTATAAAATGTATATTGACAAATGTAAAATAATCTTTAACCTGTTATTAAAAGGTATATAAAAACAAAATGAAAAAGACAAAATATGAGTAAAATCAAAATATGTACGAGACAATAATTCAATTATGCAGTGACGTAGTAATGGTAGTATAGTAGTTGGGACAATTAAAAATACAAGAACTCCATAGCTGTTATTGGCTCAAATGTAGGTGTCGGTTTCACAGGAGAGAGTGACAGGGCGTCGTAGAAATTGGGCCTTTGGAATAGGTGATGTTGATGCCATGCTTTACGGTTACTGCTTAGGCCCATTATTCGACTTGTATGGTTTTGGTACACTATTAGGACCTGCTGTTTTGCTCCACTTACTTTGATTTTGTACTCTATAGTATTCTTGTTTTCATTTTGCATGTTTGCCTCAATGCTTTAGATGGGTCAAAACTCAAAAAGGCAATGCTAAGGTTATGTATTTAAAATGAAATATTTACTTATTCACGGGATTTTAAACATATATACATTTTCAAATTATTTACAGGATATTAAACACATGTACATCTCCAAAAAAAAGTTTGAGACAGTCTTATAACTTTATGTATTTATATAGACTAATTACAAGTATAAAACTTTTATACGTTGATGTATTGTGAAACAATTCGTCAAATGAAATGAGATCTTTTACAAAATGAAGGTTCTATGTTTTAAAATAATTTGAACCTCAAGGAAATATAATAAAGATGTAGTAGTAGTGCGTAATATGTTATTACAAATACAACAAATATATTGTTTAAGTGTGGATTAAATATTCAGTCATATTGATTTCATCATTAGATAAATGGCAACACCATTTTAATTTGAAAATTGATTACTTGCCTTGGTATTCTAGGTCTTATAATTCTATCATATACCAAGCATAACATTAAGCTAAATTCTATGGAGTATAAAACAAACTCTATCAAATAAGATAATACATTATCATCAAAATATGAGGAGGATTACAAAACTAACTAAACATTATTTAAGAAACAAATTATAAAATTATGTAATAATAATAGTTGTTGCAAACCAAAGCATTAAAATAAGATCATGCCACCCTTCTAGAAAGTCTTGAAAATTGCATGTATCATTTGGATTGCTTAATTACCTCTCATGCATTGCTTATGAAGAACATTACTATTATAATCATATTGTATGATTTATTAATGAATTTATATAAATAGATAATGGACAGACATATTCACGTTAGCTTTAAGCAGGACATTAAAGCCTTACTATATTCCGTACTATATTAAACTTTTAGAATTTATCATTATGAAACACGCACTTTGTTCTATTGCTAATTACGCTTTACAGGTTGGTTTGATTATTTCATAAGCGTGTAACTGGCCTGGATTAAACTAACACTTTTATCACAAATTTTTATTAGGTGGGTTGTTAACCATGTTATTTTGGCTGTGATTTTAATGTATTATGGACTAATACATGAAATTATTCTAACCCTAGCTAACATATACGAGTATTTGATATTTTGAGGTGTACTTAATGTCGGCAATTAAACCTTAATATGACAACTTATCATTACTCTCACCGTTTCTAAATTAATGGATCACTTTGACTTTCTCATTGTTTATAAATTAATTTTGACTTGATTTTATTTTTTTTTACTGGTGAATACCTCGTTCAAATAAAGTAATGTTACTTGATACTCTCGACATATGTTTCAAATTAAGTGTTTGACTAACACATCTTCCAACACCAAACTTTGACCAATAGTTGATAAATTCTAGTTAAAAAAATTTGATATTTAGAAACTATGCACTGAGACAATTCTTGTATACAAATATATATACACATCATTATTATGTATTTCATACCATGCTTAAAGCATCACCATTAGTCAACAATGTTGTGTTTGCTAATAGTGTAAAAGTCAAACTAAGACACTTACTCGTATTTTGAAATGAAGGAAATTTGTAAAATAATGTTATTGAGTAATTAATCGGAACGTATGATCTGATCATAAAAGCAACGGTTTATTATGATATCTACTAATATTAAAATTAATTATTCTCGTATTATTTAAACAAATAAAGTTATGTAATCATTGATGAAAAAATGTGCAAATCAAACTGAAACATTTATTTCGAGAAAAAAACATTATTACGACTCAAAGTCAAAGTCAAACTAAAGACAATATAGTGATCATTAGAGTCCTAAACTATACAAAATTATCGCACTTCACATTAGTCATTATAAATAAAATGATTAAAGAAAATTGGTATAAATTGAGGTATATACTTTACTAAAGCACATGTACTGTATTACGTGTATACGTAGTCAGTAGTCGTATAAATGTAATGTGAACCCACATTTTTGCAGACATAGCACCGAATCTCCACCTCGATCTTGGTTGGAATATTAACATAGCTAGTTAACTTCTCTACATTTGTACTTACGTTGGATCCGAATTTTACATAATTTTCTTAATGTTCTTTTGTTGGGTGTTTGTCGGGTGAGCGTATAATATAGCTACACGGATAGTATTTTGATGGTCCAAATATGAGAAGGAAGGAATGAATGAATACTATGATAGATTTACATACGTATATATAGGTTGTGTATTTTTTTTTTTTTTTTTCAGATTCTAAACAGGAATAATACAAAATTCATTTGACCATTAGCTGAATATCCGTCCATGGTAGCTACCCATTTGTGACAGTAGTGTAGAATTTGTTATATATACTTGGGTGTACAATTCACCTAAGGTTAATTTTTTGCTCATTATTTGATGATAAATGAAAACACAATCATCAAAATGAGAACAAATCATTATGGGTGTACGATAAACCCGATGCGTATAAACACCCTCCATCCTTTAATTGATCGATATTCCTATTATGACATTTTTATATGAGACTGTGTTAAAAAAAAAAAAAATACATTTTCATAAGATAGAATAAAGTAAAAACAAATATTAGAGACGTATGGCCTATTTACTTCAGGTTAGTTTTGGTTCAGCTCAGTTCAGTTTAATTTAGCTGCAGCTCCAATCAGTTCAGTTCAATTCAGTTCCAGCTCCAGCTCCAGCTCCAACCAGTTCAGTTCACTTCAGCTCCTAATATGTTTCACTCATAAAATATTCATTTCAACTCAGTTCAGTTCAACTCCAATCACTTCACTTCAGTTCAGCTCAGTAAATACGAACATGCCCGTAAAGAGTAATACATTATATTGATCATTCATTTATTGTGAAACAAAAGTCCAATAATAAAGAACCGAAACTAAATGTTGTATGTCTTTGCCGGTATGATATATGTATACATTCAAAAAAGTTTGACCATTTATTTTTTGCATCCGGCCTCTAACTTGAAAAAGTATCAAGATTATTTAGCGCGTTTTGAATAATAAGCTTTACTATTAGTCGTCTTGGGCTGTTTTTTCAATTCTTCATGTAAATATTATATTATATGTATTATATCCCACGTACAATTGTATATTTGTATTATTGTACTTGTATCAATAGCTTAACCAAAGTCATACTATAAAGCAACACAATTATTGTACTTGTATTAATAGCTTAACCAAAGTCATACTATAAAGCAACAAAATTATATAAGGTCAAAAGATTATACACTAATCACTACTTATTGTCGCACAGCTACGCACATAAAGCATAGATAAAGAAAGGATCTATACGTGTAGATCTTTTACCAATTAGGCAATTACCATAATTGATTTGAATTATAGTCATTATTAGTTGAATTCACTCACAATTTGTGTTTGTTTCCTTCGATTCTACAAAGTACAAACCACCACAAACCTTAACTCGTGGGATGATTGAGCTACTATAGAAAAATGTGTACGTAGTCATCTTTTTTCAGTGACTTATTAATAACATACTTTCCGTACAAAGTAATAAGTCTAACACCTACATTTTCAAACAAAGTAGTATGAGTAGTTAGAAAAAGACATTTTCAATTGTGTCAAAAAAAAAGAAAAAAGAAGAAAAAAAAGTCATTTTCAAGCATCGTGACTTTATATTTTTTATTAGAATTGTGGATAACATAGTTTAAATATGAAGCAAGCATTTTTCCCCCGAAAAAAAAAATGAAGCAAGCATGTTTACATTAATTAAAGGACCGTTTGGTTAAATGTAGAAATTGCAACTTTTATAAAATTTATTTTTTTAAAAAAAATTAGTTTTTTTTTTTAAGAAAAATCTCAGGAATATTAGGTTAATCATGAGAAATAGTTTCAATTATCTAAATATCTCTAGGTTATTAAATTTCTTCATTTTGTGGGAAATGAAAAACAAACGCACAATAAAATTTGTGCTTCCAGAAATTTTAACTTTCACAAATTTTATTATTATTTTTTTTTTTGTCAAAAAAAAGCTTTTTTTTTGTTAACAAATGACACCTACATTTAAATAATTTATTGAAATGTAGTACTACTTACTCTAATAATAATAATAATAATAATAATAATAATAATAATAATAATAACTTAATTAAGTTTTTTTTTCCTGTTAAAGAAAAGTTAATTAAATTTTTTCCCCACAAGGTAATAGATTACGCATCACGGATAGTATAAATTAATGGTATTAGTGTATCACAAAGTATTAGGTGCAGCAAGCCGCACTCAATGTTTCGTCAATCGAGACTCGAGAAATTATCATATTATCTTCATCTTCTTGCAATGAAGAACAAGTTTTCACCCGATGACAAGTTGGTGGTAGTTACGACGAAGGAGAGCAACAGGGTCATCCATTGCGGAAGAGAGAGAAAACTTGATATTCTTGATTTTTTTTAAAAAAATGCTCAAAAATCGAATTGAGGCTTTCTTATGTGATGTATAATTGTTGAAATTGGTTGTCCCATATGAATGCACGTTAAATTGTAAGCATTTTGATAACATATGCATATATTTTGGTTGTGTAATGAGCAAGTTATTATGTTATATACCCATGACTTTTAATAATACACTAGTAGAAAATATCAAAAAGGCACCCCCTAATTGGCACCGGTTCAGTCCAAACCGGTGCCAAAAATGGCCTACAAAATTGGTGGGAAGCTGAACCAGAGTAAAAGGCACCGGTTCACTTCAAACCGGTGCCAAAATCATAAAGGCCACCGGTTTGAACCGGTGCCTTTGTGAACCGGGCCTTTAAAATTTTTTTTTAAAAAACTGGCCTCTTATAACCCCTAACCCTAAAACAGTCAACATCCTCTCTCCTCTCACTCCGCCTCTCCCTTCTCCTCTGCTCTCCCTTCTCCTCTGCTCTAGCTCTCCTTCATTCCCAACAACAACACCAACACCAACAACAGCAACATCTCCGCAACACCAACAACAACAACATCTCTGCAACAACAACAACATCTCCGCAGCAACAACAACAACACCACCGCAACAACAACACCACCGCAAAGCCGCCGCCACCATCTCTTCTCTTTAATTTTTTATGGGTTTCATCAAAAAAAATTTGGTTTAATCCACCACAAACACATGCATGAGCAAGGTTAGGGTATAATTTCTTGATTTGAATTCGATTTTTTTGTTTACGATTTCTGGGTTATTTTGTTACCGAATTCAATTTTATTTTTTTTGTTTTTCTGATTTTTGTTTCTTGTTTATTCGATTTTAATACATTTTGTTTTCGATTTTGATTTTTTGTTTTTCGATTTTTTGGTTATTTTTTTTCCGATTTCAATTTTGATTTTTTTTTATTTTTGTTTATTCGATTTTAATATATTTTGTTTTCGTTTTTGATTTTTTATTTTTCGATTTCTGGATTATATTTTTTCTTATTTTTTCGATTTCAATTTTTTTTCGAGTTCAATTATTTTCGATTTCTGGGTTTTTTTAATTTATATTTTTTATCTGGGTTTTTTTCGATTTCAATTTATTTCCATTTCAATTTTGATATTTTTTTCGATTTCAATTTATTTCCATTTCTGGGTATTTTTTATCTGTGTTTTTTGATTTCTGGGTATTTTTTGGTTTATTTTTTTGGCGATTTCAATTTTTTTTGCGATTTCAAATTTTTTCTGTGTTTAATTTTTTGGGAAGCTTAATTGTATTAATCCTTTTTTTTTTTGCTTTAATTGGTGCAGGTATCTTGAGTTAGATCTTAAATGGAAGAATCAAGATCAAGAATATTGAGTTTATTTTTTTTATTTATATTGTAATATTTTTTTGAATATGTTGTAATTGAACTACTACTGTATTAATCTATATTGTAAAATTGTTTTGATTATATATTGTAAATATTTGATTATGTTGATTGAAATTCGATCTATATTTTGATGTTCTAAATAATTTAAGTCGATTTTTAATTGTTTGATGTTCTTTTAAAAAAAAAAATTAAAATATTTGGCACTTTTGGCACCGGTTAACCGGTGCCAAAAACAATTCCACATTTTTTTAAACCCATTTTTGGCACCGGTTAACCGGTGCCAATTTCAAGTTTTGGCACCGGTTTGAACCGGTGCCTTTTTTAACCTATTTTTGAACCGGTGCCAAATTCATTTTTTCACGTAGTGATACGAGCACTTCAATGGGGTTCCACCATTGGCTATATGATATCTTTTATTACCCATATAATATCATTTATGATTATTGTATCTATGATATTCTTTATTGGCTGGATGATATCCTCTACTAGTTATATGATATCATGACTGAATGATATTCGCTATTGGCTATATGATATCATGATCCAGCCAATAAAGGATATCATATAACCAATAGAGGATATCATCCAGTCTGTAGAAATAACATCCAACCAATAAATGATATTATATAGCTAAAAAAAGATATCATCCAATGATCCAATTAGTATAGGATATCGTCTAGCCAATATAGGATATCATCCAGCCAGTAGAATTATCATCCATCCAACAAAGGATATCATATAGCTCATAAAGGATATCATCCAATTGGTAGAGGATATTTGGCCTTGTTTGGCAAATGGCTGTTGGCGGTTGGTTGGTTCACTTGGCTTGTTTGACCAGCTGGAATGTTTGGCTGTTTATAATGGCTTTTGAAATTGGTTGTTTAAGTTGGTTGTTTATAAAAAGTGTTTGGTAAATTAATTGGTGGTTGTTGGCTGTTTATTAGATAATTTGTGGGCCAACAAGCCAAAAACCAACAAAAAAGCTACTTAAAGCAGCTTTTTCATTTTGGCTTAAAAGCCAGCTTTTTCGCCGACTAAAAAACCAATTACCAAACACATTTTTTGGCTGTTTGACCACCTAAAAAAGCCAAAAGTCAAAAGCTAACCAAAAAGCCATTAAAAAACCAATTACCAAACATGGCCAATTATCTAACCAATATAGAATACCATCCCAACTAATAGAGAATATCATTCTACCAATTGATGATATAAAAATCCGCATTTTGTCAGTCCGAACTGATAAAACATTTCGTCAATCCGGACTAACGTAACATTTCGCATTGACACAATACCTCCTCTCAGTGTATTACTACCCACCAAAGTTTTATTGTCTATTAGTAGTGCCTTATCTATCTAGTCACTGCATGTAGCAATGTCTCGTAATTTCCTATTACTACATGGCAGCTGCTTCGATGAACCTTTTTTCTTCTCAGTTTTTTTTTTTTTTTATTTTTTTTTTATTTTTTATTTTAACTTCGTATCTAATAAAAAATAATTTTCGCTGAAGTTAGCTTCCAAGAAGTTAAGCTGTGAAAAAAGTCCATATTAGCACACATCACAACCGAATAACGGCATTACATCTCGTAACATTCAAACATACGACCAATCCAATCAAATACCAAACTCCCAATATCTCCCCCTTTTTTTTCATTTATTATATTCTCCAATCATCCTCTCCCCAAAATTCAATTTAATCGTACCATTACACATATTTTTTTTTTTATTTATAGATAACAAAGTACCATTACGCATATGTTTTGCCACTTTGTCCCTTTATTTTATCCTCCTACGTTATAATAATTATTGTCTTATTTATTTGTTTTTGTATGATCTTCAATACATATTTAATATAATTATTAGGCACTAGGGAAAATTAATTCAAATTAGCAAAATTAAATAGAATTACATGATCAATTAAACAAAAGGAAAAAAAGGGGATATGAGAGTTTGACAAAGTATACAAATGCAAATATGTTGTAATAATTAATTAACGGGGAAGTATAATATTGACTCGTTTAAAAAATTAGAATTACCTGGCCTTATCCAAATAATAGAAATCTTCAAATTCAAGTTTCATATAATTAAGTTCAATATGAATAAGTTTTAGGTCTTGTAGAGTTAATAAGGAATAGGGTCACAATTAATTTCTTACTCTGTAGTAACAATACCGCAGTTATTGATTCAATAAAACTAAGCCAGTGTTTAGATCAGTGTTTAGATCTAATACGTTTAATGTATGCTTGTAACTCCACTTATTATTAAATCTTTGACAATAAGTAATATAAACTACTTGGTATATTTAAATGTGGAAGTGATACCAAAATCATATACTGTAATATAACTAATATATAAATTTAAAGTTTTAGCCAGGCCATGAGACAGCACACTTGGTATTCCAACTTTTTGCCAAGTGTCGCGCCACGTTGAATGTACTTAGATAGACTTCATAAGATAAATTAATTAATCTAATATATATAAATAAAGTAGGCCTTTTTGGAGAGCATCGGACGCGCCACATAAGAAAAGGTATTATTTTGACCAATGAAAAATTAAATTAATAATTTATTTTAGGATTAAAAAATTCACTCGCCACCTAAGAAAAAGTGACGAATAAGATTTAAGAATTTTGCCACATATGTAAAAACAACGAATAGTAAATAATTAAAATTTAAACTTTTTAAAAAGACTAATAATTATCTTTTTTATATGCAAATCTTTGATCGCAACTATCTTTAATCTCTCCCTAGAAAATATTATAAAGATTACATATTAAAAATGTACTTATCCAAACGAATAAAACTAAATCTCATATCATGTTAGAGAGACTAATAGTAAATCATCATGTTAGAGAGAAATTTACAAGATTCCCTCTTATTTTTAATAGTTAAAAGATTTTAGATGAGACTAACATTTTGAAACAGAACGAGTATATAAAAAAAGCATTTGCAAAGGACTTATTTTAATCAATAAATAAAATGATTTGTCATTTATTTTTTTATTAAGCAAAATTGAAGAATAAGGTTTGGGATTTTAAATTCAAGCGCCACAAACCTACAAAAGATAACTTTAGTGTTAAAATTTTTGTAAAAAATTATCTTATGATATAAGAAATTTTATTCAAATATCCGATGAATGATATTCATATAAAAAAAATCTTAAATTAATAAAAAATATTTACTAGAACCGTGCATCGCACGGGCTTATATCTAGTTTCAATTAAATTTGGATGAAATTTTGGAATAAAATTGTTAATTGAGAGTTTTATTTTCGAAAAAATACCAATATTTTATAGGCATAAATTGAATTATAATTTTATTCAAAAAAATATTAGATTATAACTCTAAAATATTTCATATGTATAAATTGAATTATAATTTTATTCAAAAAATTATTACTTCATCCGTCCCAAATTAGTTGCAATGTTTTGACTTTTTGCACTATTTACACATCTCATTTTGACCATCTTTTTTAGCTATTATTTGAAAGACAATGTAATCATGTAATATGTTGTTGGGTCTGCTTTAATGTATTGTTTCTTAATATAAATTTTTAATAGCTTATATAAGTATATAATAAAAGATATTAATGACCAAAACATATGCATCGGCAAGTGTGTCCAGTCAAAATGTTGCAAGTAAACTGGGATAGAGGGAGTAGATTATAACTCTAAAAAAATACCTTTATTTTGTTTTTTTTTTTTTTTTTTTTTTTTTTTTGTGTTTAGAGAGCCCATAAGAGCAGTGGTGAGAATTGATCCCAAGACCTCCTAGGTCGGGAGGGAAGCTCAAACCACTTAAGCTATTCGTCACTCTTATAAAATACCAATATTATTATTAGTCATTTATTACATGCCTACTACATAGTTTAAATCGTTACAAAAGCACATAAATTCCTAACTAATTTCATATTAAAGATATATTTTGAAATCTGACATATTGATTAAAAATTTATTTCAAAATTTAAAAAACAAGTCGGGCATCGCACGGGGTACAAAACTACTCCCTCCGTTTTTAAATACTTGCTCCATTTCTTCATGCGCGGAGTTTTAGGAGAAATTAAAGAAAATAATAAAATATGGAGGTAGTGGGGTTGGTGGAAGAATAAAAAATTATAGAAAGCAAAATTATTGGAGAAAATTGGAGGAGAGAGAATAATATATGTTGGGACCATTAGGTGAGAGAAATTGATTAATTATTGTAAAAGCTTTCCAAATAAGAAAATGGAGCAAGTATTTAAAAACGACCGGAAAAAGAAAGTGGAGCAAGTATTTAAAAAACAGAGGGAGCAGTAAATAAATAAATACTGTACATAAAATAGAAGAACCTGCAACTAAAATAAGAAGTTACAGAAATTTTCTAAGAACTGAAAATAATCTCATGTAAAATATTTTAATTCACATAAATTTGGTCATTGGTAATAAGAGGTAGCTTACAGCCTTAGACCAATTATAAGAGGAATATATTCTATTTGAAAAATAAAGTCCATTATGACTTTTGATTTTTGAATACAATTTCCTCCACCCTGAAATTATACATTACCTTTACTTTGAATTATTATTTGGTCATTATATAAATATTCGTGCAATTTACCCTTCAAATAATATAAATGTATAATCAATGTACCTTATTAGTAATTCACCGGACCCTGGTACCCATAGTACCTCTTGGCCTATAATGTTTCATATACCTCATGTGTAACACTTTTAGCCGAGTCTTAGTAACATAAGCCTCATGTGTAACACTTTTAGCCGAGTCTTAGTAACATAAGATATCTTGATGTCCAGGTAGTGGTGGTCGTTATTAGTCGAAAAGAAAAGGAAAAGGATAACATTTAGAAAAGGGGAAGAAGATGCTTCCTACACAGCTGGCTGCTAAAATCAACTTGCCTCAGCAGCTCCTTGCTGGAAAATCAAACTCTTTACACCCCTAAACACATAATTTAAACAAAAAATCATCACCCTTTTGTCCTCTTTCTCCCTCCATTTGTATTAATCTATTACACCATCACATTCAAATCACCCCATTTTCCCTTATTTTTTACTATAAACCCACCTTCTCAACCCTCTAATCTCCCCCTTTTAGCAACTCCCCCTCCTCCTAAACCAACCCCATTGAAATGTTTTCTCCGGCAACCGCCATCACTTTCTCTGTCCTCACCTTTTCCCTCCTCCTCGCTCCCATCTCTAGCGCCGCTATCGTCTCCACGAACGTGTTCGGGTTCCCCTTTGATCACACCTACTACGACACCTTCCAAGTCCAGTCCCCAGCCACCATCAGCAACGGCGCACTTCAAGTCACACCCGACTCGGCGGGAAACTTTACATTAACCAACCGTGCAGGTCGCATTCTATTCAAACAACCTTTCGTTATCTGGGAATCGCACGGGCATAACAACACCCGTGTCGCCTCATTCAACACTTCCTTTCTCATCAATATATTTCGCATCAACAATACCGACGGCACCCCCGTCACTCCTGGTGAGGGCGTCGCCTTCATCATCGCACCTGACCTCAATGTCCCCCCTGGAAGCTCCGACGAGTTCCTCGGGTTGACCAACTCCACCACCGACGGCAACCCCAACAACAAACTCCTCGCTGTCGAGTTCGATACCGTTAAGAACGGGCCTTACGACCCTGATGATAACCATATTGGTCTCGATATCAGCTCTATTAGATCTAACCACACGGTCTCTCTATCTGATTTTAATATCACTCTCGCGCCTACGGGGACGGTATTTCATAAGGTCTGGATGTTCTACGATGGCGGTGAGAGTAAATCTCTCATCGTCTACATGGTAGACCTCCATGACCAACAAGCCGAGGCGGTTATGCCGGATACACCAGTAATGAATGTGACCGGCATCGATCTGAGCAAGATTGTTAACCCGGTTTCGTATTTCGGGTTTTCCGCGTCAACTGGGGATGACATCGCGGAGCTCCATTGTGTTCTGAGCTGGAACATAACAGTGGAAATAATCAAAGAGCCTGGTGCTGGAAAGGTTACAATTGTTCTGGCAGTCGTTATCCCGGTGACGGTAATATTATTAATAGGTATTGGACTAGGATGGTTTTTTTGGAACAAGAAAAGTAGGGGATCGATGTCGGACCCGAACATACTCGGAGCTTTGAAGAGCTTACCGGGTATGCCGAGGGAGTATGATTTTAAGGAGCTTAAAAAGGCCACAAATAATTTCGATGAAAAAAATAAATTGGGACAAGGAGGTTATGGGACGGTATATAAAGGGTTGTTACCGGTTGAAGCATTTGAAGAAGTTGCGGTAAAAAAGTTTTCGAGGGATGAGATAAAAAGTAAGGATGATTTTTTGGCTGAACTTACGATTATTAATAGGTTGCGCCACCGAAATCTCGTCAAATTACTAGGTATGTTTTTGATTGATTGGTTGATTTTATTCCTTAGTGTATTAATTGTTTGTATTGGTTTGTTGTGGTATTTCCTATATTTGTGGGGCTCATTTATTGCTTTACTATGTGTTCTATTCTATTTTTGGGTATGTATGAATTGGATAAACTTATGAATTTTCGATTTTTTTTTATAAGGAGGTGAGTTGAGTCTTGAAATCGTGAATTAGTACATGGATTATTTTTGTAGATAGTGTTGTTTTCCACTAAAAGATTGAAACTTTTGATCTATTTGGGTGAAAAAGACTAATGGAGCTTTTTGAAGTACTTTTACCACTTAAACCTTGTGTATTTTCTCAAATTTCAAAACATCAATGTTCTTACTTCTTATCAAGTGTCCAAGAAATGACAGTGGTGAATCTAGTCTAATTTTTTAGTACTCCGTAATGTGTTTCTATGTACATGTGACTATGTGAGTACTGAGTAGATTGTCGATTTTGTGTTCTCTTGCTCAATGAATTTTATCTGTTGTATCAGGGTGGTGCCATCAAAATGGGACACTACTACTAGTGTACGAGTACATGCCCAACGGCAGCCTAGACAAGCACATATTCTGCGGGGAGGACAAGGCACCCTTAAGCTGGGAGCTCCGTTTCAAGGCCCTGAAGGGGGTAGCCTCCGCTCTTCACTACCTGCATAATGAGTTTGATGAGAAGGTGATTCACCGGGACCTGAAGGCAAGCAATGTCATGCTTGATACCAACTTCAATGCTCGTCTTGGTGATTTTGGCTTAGCTCGTGCATTAGACCATGAAAAAACCTCATATGCTGAACTGGAGGAGGGTGTGCACGGCACAATGGGGTACATTGCTCCTGAGTGCTTCCACACAGGCAGGGCTACTAGGGAGTCTGACATTTTCGGCCTTGGAGCAGTCCTTCTTGAGGTGGCTTGTGGACTCCGTCCTTGGACAAAGAAGGAGGGCTACCAGTGTACAGTTGATTGGGTGTGGTCAATGCACCGAGATGGAAACATCTTAGGGGCAATCGACGAGAGGCTAGGAAACGAGTATGTAGCAGAGGAAGCAGAACGAGTTTTGCTCCTAGGTTTGGCCTGCTCTCACCCTACCGCAGCAGAGAGGCCTAAGACACAAGCAATCAAACAGATACTGTCAGGGTCGGTTCCTATGCCTCATGTACCGCCTTTCAAGCCATCTTTCATATGGCCAGCAATGGGTCCTATGAACGGCGCCACCTCCGAAATGACAACCGAGACCAACATCGCATCATCACAATATGATAACTCTCTTTGGACCCCCCGTTCTGATGTCAGCCCACATAGTGGTAGTGTATACTCCATGGCATGATAGGAACATTATATCATCAGATAACAACATAACAGCAGCAACAATTATGGCATTCCTGCTGTATTTTTTCCCTCTTTCTGGTAACTTTTCTGTCATTTATATGAAAAGTTTTGCTTAATTTTATAGTTCAGGGCATAAGCAATTAAGCACTTGAATTTGTGTCCCAATTTTTTTCCCACTTTATTTGTACATGGGGAAGAGGGTGGATTGTCAATGTAAATTATAATTTGATTATTTCATTAGTTGCGCTTGTACTCCTGTGTGTTGGTAAACCTGCAATGTATAAGCAGTTACTACCATGCTGATAAACAATGTTTCCGAAGGAAGACAGTGATTATTTCATAGTTCAGTGAACTCGATCAGTTTCGATCTCTTCAATTCTTCAGTATTTTATGATGCTCTTCTTTCCCAAGAGGCCAAAAGGATAAACATGAGTGCTAAATACAGATGATAAGTATGTGACACCGAACTTTGACAGGGACAACTAAAATATTAAACAGCACAATAATTTCAGTAGACCGGTCAAGTCTTTGTATAATCTTCTACTTTTTTAAAGTTAAGAGTTGTTAATGATCAATGTCAAACAATTAGCATCTACACTAACCATAATCTAATTAATTAAAAGGATCATATGTATGATTGACTAGTAAATTAGAGTTCTGCGCTAATCATCAATTCTGTTAATTAAATTAATCATATGCATGTTTGACTAATTATATTAGAATTCTGTGCTGACCAAGACAAATTGATAGCTCAAGCAATCATGTTTATCTGCTATATTTTTTTTGTCATATTTTATCTTCAAATTTACCAGTTCAACTGCTAAAACATATCTTCCAATTGCTTATATTCCTTCTAAATAAAACCATGCATGATTGCATGAAGCATGGTATGGAACAAGAGCAAGGAAACAGAACCCACAACCCTTGGATCATAACCGCGATTTTAGGAGTCACTAGTTAAAAACAAATAATGCCTGATCAGCAACTATGTCCATCATTTTCATGTTGTGTAAGATTGTCGTAGCAGAAAAAGAATTGGTGTAATTAAAATAGCAATAACACTCTTCATTAAGTAGATAATCAGTGAAATATCATCTTCAAGTGATATCAGATTCTGTAACAAGACTAACAACTATCACTTGAATAATACACTCAGTATTAAAGAATGATGTCCTGTTTTAATTTATTTTATTTTACGGTGACAGGAAGATCCTTGTGCTATCATGGCCAACTTAGCATATGCTGTACGGCCTACTTACCTAATCGAATCAGCTCTAGGATTTCTCCGCTATGCAGCTTCTTTGAATTGCGAAGCCTCCTTACCTCTCTATATGTTATGGGAGCATAGAGGCGAGGGTGTTGAGCATCAACAAACTCTGCAGGAGCTTCAATTATTTTATCTTGTGGTGGTGAAAGGAATGTTGCAATTGACACACGTACCCCTGCACCCTTGCATTGAACCCGATGCTGCACATTGCGAAGAACCCCATTGCTCCATAGCTTTCATAGTTTCAACAATCACGAGTCAGGAATATCAGTAAAGCAATGAAAACAGAAAAGAGAATATTACAGATGAGGGATTCTCATGTTCTTGTTCCTAGGCTAACTTAATTTTTTTTTCAAAAAAGTATCTTAGTTTTATTAGAACAGAATTATAATGATCAAGACTAATTTAATGTAACTTTTGCAGTTCAAAACTGATTTCATTAGTAACATATGATGTGAAATTGAAGAAAGCAAGGGGCAAAAATAACTTACCACAGCAACATCACCAAGATTGACAACCATTGTTCCCGGTAAGGGATCAGCAGCAACAAATTCACCCGACTCATTCATGACTTCAAGACCGCCAAGATTTTCATCATCCTGCAGAAATGTAAGAAATGCAGAGTCTGTATGGATCTGTACACCCGAGGAGCCTATTGCCTCAGGGGTGAACCTGTACTTGTTTATTCTGAACTGAAGAGGCCAACCTTCGAAATTGTAATCTGTCAAACCCAAGCTCATCAACATCTTGCTTGCAATATCTATTGCAGCCTTGTGTGTTGCTCGTGCATAGCTCTCAATGATCTCCCTGTTAAAATTATACCCTTTGAGTAAATAACCCGATTAATATCTGAAATCATTTGCAACACAGACAGAGGCAATTTCCCATAGTTTGCTTATAAATTTGCACATACATTCTTCTAGCTTAATATTCAGCATACAACCCGTATCCAAAAGAAATTAAGTCTCATAATTTTCTTTGTTCTCCATTCAATACAATAATCTCATCATCAAAAGCATGTACTTGTATTATACAAAAATGGTCAAGTTACTTAGTATCATTCCTTAATCTGTTAGGTAGTGATGGATATGAATCATATGATCGATGTAAAACATACTTCATATGCATTAAGAGTTAAATGTAAGACTATTTTTCCGCAATTCTTAAGAATTTTACAATATTGGCATTTATCAAATTTAGCTAAGTTTAAGTCTTTTTGTACATTTGTACTCAAAAACTTGACTTGGAGTTCTTGTTAAATTTATATTACCTCATATTTTTCTTTAATAATTTAGTTTATAGTAAAAACAAATTTGAAAATATCACTAATCCGTTGTAGTCTAGTTGGTCAGGATACTCGGCTCTCACCCGAGAGACCCGGGTTCAAGTCCCGGCAACGGAAATTCTTGTTATTTTTTATTTTTTATTTCCTAATTTAAAAGTAGCTACATTACAAAGCTATCTTATTAATATCTCTAATGTCAAAAAGCTACTACAGATTTACAAAATTTCTTTTCGTTTGAAAAGATAGGACAATTAGCTCACAATAATCCTATATAGCTATATTATAATGCAATGCCAAATTAATAATCTTTCCGTCCAAATTAATAATCTTTCCGTCCAAATTTATAATAGCAGTGCATTACTCTGTATTAATACATAAATGAAATAATAATATGTCAACTATATTGGACAAACTTTCTTTGCTCTTTTATAATTACATGGGAGAAATTATGCTGTCCAAAACTTTATTTAAAACTTAATCATCACTATAGTTTATTATAATTAAAACATGGTAGAAAGTGCAAACATTGCAATATTTAAAGAACATTCTCCCTCCGCGTCTCATATATACATAAGGTCAAACCGAAATACCTTTCCAGACATGACTAGCTATGAGGCGCATATGCACGTTAACCACCCTAATAATAAGAAATTAAAACAAGAAAACCTCCTTGAAAAAATGGGTAAAGGGTGTACCTTTGGTGGGGAGAAACTTGAAGCTGGGAACAAAAGTTAGAAAGAGAAGAAGAAACATCAAAAAGTCCCAAAGCTTCATAAACTGGATTATTTTGACTTGGTGCCATATACCCACTTCCTGGAATCACATCCACATTCTGCTGTTTGATCTCAATTGGAAGATCAAGCAATTCCTTTGAAACTGATTTCATTTCTGCCATTAATTTCAAGGGTACCCCATGATTTATTATTCTGAAACAACCCCATTTTTCAATGATTTCTCTTAATTTTACTGACTTTTCTTCAATTTGGTGTGCATCTATTACTGGGATTTTTCCTTCCATTTTCTCTCTCCTCTTTTTCTTTCAGTTTATTTGGTGCTTGGTGAGTGTAATAAATTAACAAGCTGATGTATTTAAGGTAAATTAGAAGTATAACACACCAACAATAGTAGATCTTTTATATAAGGAAAATGACTCATCCATTAAGGAGTTTAGTAGAGCAGCAACACTCATCGGCCTTGTAAAAATTGCTTTTTATAACAAAAACGTAATTCATACAAAGTACATCTCATTAAGAATCAACGTAAAAAATAAAAAAATAAAAAAAGTAAGTGGTCAAACTATAAGTTGTACTTTATCCGCTTTAAGCTTGTACATTTTTTTTAACCATCTTTCCGAAATGCATGTTTATATGATAATCGTCTTTTAAATGACTACCACTATGCTTAACACTTAGAGTTCTGCGCTAATCATCAATTCTGTTAATTTAATTATTCGATCATATGCATGTTTGACTACTCATATTTTTTGTCATATTTTATCTCAAATTCATCAGCTCAACTGCTAAAACATATCTTTTTATTGGTTATATTCTTTATAAATAAAGCCATGAAGCCTGGCATAGAACAAGAGCAAGGAAGCAGAACCCTCTGAAGGAGTTATGTCTTCGTCGTGTGCAATTCTAGATATATAAATGGATCAAATTATGGAGATAATTAAGTTCGTACATTTGGGTCGTCGTTTTGCCATAGCTAGAGGTACTAACGATATTTGGACTAGTAAAATAGCCCAAAGCCCAATTGGACGGATCCTATAAGGTCACACAAAGGGGCTAGATCGAGCATTAGAGGACGAGGCCCATCACGGGCCTCATCACTCTAGGTGGCCGGCCATATGGAGTGGACAAGGGAGTTTTGGGCTTCGTGCCCTAGTCTAATTATAATGAGATTATAAATAGACTAGGTGCCTAGGTTTGCAGGAAGTAAGGAATTAACTGATCAGTGTGATCAAACCCTAATTAGCAAACATGAAACCCAACCCCTCTCATAGTCCTCTCTCACACGGCTCTTTCCTCCTCCTAGGCGCCGGTGGTGTGTCGCGGTGGTGGTGGTTAGTGCGGTGGTCGGTTGTCCGTAAAGGTGGTGATCGCGGTTTTCCTCAATCACTCGACCAATCTAGTATTGGTGGACGGCTCGTTCGAATCTCGTGGACTAAGTAGAGGAGCAATGCTTGGGGCTCTATTTTCTCCCTGATTTGCCTGTCGAATAGATTCGTGGAATTCACGCGTCAAAGGTATGATTATGTGTCTTGTGTGTTATGCATGTGATTCTTGGGATTGGTACTTGTTTGAATATGATTTATATTATTTCCACTGCGTAGTACCTATAAACTCCTACACCCTCAACCCTTGGATTACAACCGCGATTTCAGGAAAGAATGCATGATGCCATGATCAGCAACTATTTCCATAATACACTCAGAATTAAAAAGTAGTGTCCTGTTTTTATTTATACTATTTTTTTATGGCAGGAAGATCCTCGAACTATCCTGGCCAACTTAGCATATTCTGTACGGTCTACTTACCTAGTCAATCAGCTCTAGGACTTCTCCAGCATGCAGCTTCTTTGTAAAGCGAAGCCTCCTTAACTCTTCGTATGTTATGGGAGCATAGAGGCGAGGGTGTTCAGCATCAACAAACTCTGCTGGGGCTTCAATTATTTTATCAGGTGGCGGTGAAAGGAATGTTGCAATTGACATACGTATCCCTGCACCCTTGCATTGTACCCGATGCTGCACATTGCGAAGAATTCCATTGCTCCATGGCTTTCATAGTATCAACAATCACTAGTCAGGAATGTCAGTAAAGGAAAATAAAAGATTCAGGTTACATATGAGGGGTGTTTATGTAGTTATGTTATTGTTACTGGACCAACTTGATTCAGTGATCATCTGAATTTAATCGAATAAAACAGTGAAGAAATTACTATAAAATGGGCGAAATTAGCTTACCACAGCAACGTCTCCAAGATTGACAACCAGTGTTCCTGGCAAAGGATCAGCAGCAACAAATTCACCCGACTCATTCATCACTTCAAGACCACCAAGATTTTCATCATCCTGAAGTATTGTAATAAATCCAGCGTCTGTATGGATCTGTACACCTGAGGAGCCTATAGCTTCCGGAGTAAAGCTGTATTTGTTTATTCTGAACTGACAAGGCCAATTTTCGAAACTGTAATCTGTCAAACCCAAGCTCTTTGACATCTTGCTTGCAATATCTATTGCAGCCTTGTATATTCCTCGTGCATAGCTCTCAATTATCTCCCTGTTAAAATAATAGCCTTTGAATAAATAACCTGATTATTTTGTTAAATCATTTGCAACTTAACACAGACAGAAGCAATTCTCCATAATCTCTAATGTGCTTATAAATTTGCACATTCATTTAGCTTCATATTCAGCATACGACCCAAAATAAATTAAGCTTCATAGTTTTTGTTGTAATCCATATTCTCATCATCAAAATCATGTAATATATAAACATGTTCAAGTTACATAGGATCATTCCTTAATCCGTGTCAGGCCTCATTAGGTTTTTGATATGATCGATGTATAACAATTTTACCACATCAAGATAGTAACAGATGAAACAGAAATTAAGTCTTACAAGGCTTTTACCTATCAAGGTGTTCAATATTCTCTTCATGACTGTGTTTACCTATATCTAGGGATGTCATTGGGGCGGGTCAAGTAGGAGACCCGCCCCATCCCGGTGGGGCGGGGACGGATCTCGGTTTGGCGGGTGGTGGAACAGAGATGGGGATAAAAACCATACCCGTCATGGTGATGGGGCGGGGGTGGATTATAAGTTGTACCCACCCCATCCCTTGACCGCCCCATTCGCTCCATTTCGTACCCGCCCCATCCCCACCTCATACCCACGTCTATATATCTTTAAAAGCAAAATTATATACTTGTATACTATTTTATAAAATAATTACGTGAAATAAAATATTAATTATAATATTTTGTAGTACACTTATATTATAAACAAAAATGTGTGTAATATTAAGAATGTTTTTTTTTTAATTATTATTATAATTCGTATTAATTATGTAGGATTGTGTATTTGAGAGACGGAGATTAGGTGGGTCTTGGGTGGAGATTAGGCGGGTTCTAAGTAGAGATTAAGCGGGTCTTTGGTAGGGATTAGGTGTGGATGGATATCCAAGTGGGGGTGAGGCGGAGATGGTTTTTGAGTACTCGCCAGGCAGGGATGAAGATGAATATTGGAGCTGCCGTGGGAATGGGGATGGAGATGGGGATGAAAATGTTAGGTGGGGATGGAGATGGGAAGGCCAACATCTGCCTGTCCCGTCGACATCCCTACCTATATCGTCAAGGTGTGAGAGATACAGATGTAGGTAAACTTGTAAAGATGTGGGAGTAAAAAACATGAGCAAAGAGAGGGAAAGTTATATGGTTTTTTACGCCCAATAGATGTATGCAACTACCTAAGAGAGTATGAGCCATCTAGGAATGAGCTATTTTTGGTGAGTGCAAAGGTGTATCCAACATTATACCTTCTTGTTCACTTTCCTAATGATTTCTAATGCCTAGCAAGCTGATGGATTGCATTTTGGGAATCATTGTGAATGCTTCTTTCGTCAAATATATGCACTTATGTGTCCAATAAATATATATTGTTGGACAAAATTACATAATTTTATTCTATGTTGTAGTTATTCATAAGTGATGGGTGTAATAATGAGGGAATCCCAATTAACCATCATGATAAACAAAAATCGATTTTGTTTTCAAAAAAAAAAAAAAAAAAAAACAAAAACAACAAAAATCGTTTTTTTAAATGACATTTCTATAAATAAATCAACAAAATATCTCAATTAGCATTGCATTTTCAGTATTTAAATCAACATATATGGAACCAGCATTGAATAAAAGTGTAGCTAAATTTAACTCTATTGTACCCAAAATTGACTTGCTTGTGGCTCTCTAAACACCAAAAAAAAAAAAAAAATTGACTTGGAGTTCTAGTTGAATTCATATTACCTCATATTTTCTATACTATTACTTTATATTAAACATGCAATTTAATTACATTAGTCATCCGTTGTAGTCTAGTTGGTCAGGATACTCGGCTCTCACCCGAGAGACCCGGGTTCAAGTCCCGGCAACGGAAATTTTTGTTATTATTTTTGGAAGAAACAAAACTATTTCTATCTCTAATGTCCAAAAGCTACTACAGATTTACAGAATTTATTTTCGTCTGAAAAGATTGGACAATTAGCTCACAAGATTCCTATAATGCAATGCCTAAATATTTTACTACTTCTTTGCTCTTTTAATATTACATATTTACATTGGAAAACTTATGCTGTCAAAAACATTAATTAAAACTTAACCATCTCTAGTAATTATAAAATTAGTAGATTATAAATTATACCGTAATTAAAACATTGCAATATTTAATTAACGGAGTATATACGATGTATATAAATACTGATTATGTCATCCATGACGCACCAAAAAGAAATTAAAATAAGAAAACTTCCTTAAAAAAAATGAGTAAAGGGTACCTTTGGTGGGGAGAAGCTTGAAGCTGAGAACAAAAGTTAGAAACAGAAAGAGAAGAAGCAACATCAAAAAGACCCAAAGCTTCATAAAGTGGGTTCTTTTCACTAGGCTCCATATACCCACTTCCCGGAATCACATCTACGTTTTGCCGTTTGACTTCAATTGGAAGATCAAGCAATTCCTTTGAAACTGATTTCATTTCTGCCATTAATTCTAAGGGTACCCCGTGATTTATTACTCTGAAACAACCCCATTTTTCAATGATTTCTCTTAATTTTATGGACTTTTCTTCAATTTGGTGTGCATCTATTACTGGGATTTTTCCTTCCATTTTCTCACTCCTCTTTTTGTTTGTTTTTTATTTTTTTTTTTTTTTTTTTTTGTGCTGGGTGACTTGGTGAGTGTAATAAATTAATATTAAGGTTAGATTGTGTTATTTCGTACGGAGTAGCTGATGTATTTAAGGTATATTAGAATAGCAACACCACTACTAGACGCCTTTACTAGCTGTCACTCTATAAAGAGTTTATTAGAGTCTGTTCTCTTACGTTGAAATTCAATTCAGTTCAGTTCAGCTCAACTCAGTTCAGTTTAGTTCAGTTTAGTTCAACTCCTAATTTCCTTGTCTTATAAAATATTCAGTTTAGTTAATGAGAAAAGGCCCTTACTCTCTCATAGTCAAAAAAAGAAAAAAAAGTTTATTACTCCCTCTACCCGGTAAAGATTGCCTCTTACAAACAAAAACGTATTTCATACATCTCATTAACTTTGTTTCATATTTTAGTTGTATTTTGTAACTTATTTAGGGTTTGTTCAAATTTACTGAATTGATCTGAAATGAGCTAAGTTGTAATGAATGTTTTACAAGAGAGGAAAATTAGGAGCTGAATGAACTGAATTGAACTAAAATAAAATTAAGTTGAAGTAAACAAGCCCTTAGTTTTATGTTTATTTTCAGTCATTTTGCTCAACGACTGACGATGGATGTACATTTTACTCTACATTGATAAGCGGATCTTTTACCAAAATGGCTAATTTGACAAAAGTATTTACCAAAACAGCTAATTATAAAATTTAATTCCCAAATTACCTAAATTTATTGATTTGAAATGATATTATTTATTTATTATATTCCTTTGGAAGTTTAGTTCACTTTATGTTTTTTTTTTTTGTTTTTTTTAAAAAGAATTAGTTTTTTTTTTTTAATTTTGGTTTTATTTAAATTCTAATGCCATAGTTTAAAATATCCCATTAATTTGAACACAGAACAATAACAACCAGCATAATATATATGCAACAATTCTCAATTTTTAAAAAAGTTACACAACATAAACAACCACTCAAAAGAATGATCCAAACTTCCAATCAAAAAAAAAAAATCAACTATTTTTTTTACACATAAAAATAGAAATAAATATATGTAAGTTTGATTTATCATATTTATCATACACATTAAACAAAAAAATAGTCCTACTAGCCGACATTAACAAATAGTATACAATTAATAGACATTAAAAAGATGAACAATACCTTAAAATCTCTTATCGTCGTATAAATTTGCGGTAGACTTGATAAAACAATATAATACTACTTGAAATTCCAAATTTTTGTGATTGATATAATCAAGATGAAAAATTAGTGCTTTTACTTGGTTTTTTTTTAATTTTTGATCGAAATTAGGATTTTGCGAGTCTGCGACTGTTTTCGTTCTTCGTAGTTTTGTGTATTGCTTAAATTTTCCAACTTAAAAAAAATATTTAAGTAAATAAAAAAAAACCAAATTGGATCAAAAGAAATAAGAAATAGATAAATTATTTTCAAGTTAATAAATTAGCTAGTTTGGGAATTAAAATTAATAATTAGTCGTTTTGGTAAATACTTTTGTCAAACTAGCCGTTTTGATAAAAGCTCGTTTTTTAACCATCTTTTCAAAAGGCAAGATACTAATGAAGTAGGTTAACACTTAAAAATATCAATAAAAAAAATGCAACACTTTCTTATCTATTTCATATGAGACTTAGGTTGATATCCAACACAAAGGATGCATGATCAGCATCCAGCAACCCACGACCAATTTTCTTGGTTATTAGGATACTTTGTTCGGCACTCACCCAAATTAAACAATACGATATTCCATATAATTTGAAGTTAAAATATGACAACTAAATTAGGACAGAACAATATACTTGGCACTCATCCAAATTAAATAATACGGAGTACTGTAAAAATTAATACAAGTCGTTTAACGAGGAAGAAAATAGGAAAAAATTACAAAAAAAAAAAAACATTTAAATACTCTTTGTATTGTGAAGACGTATTAATTGTAGGGCTTCCCCTGCCCGCAGGTTCTTTGACACACGAAGACCTCTTAACGCTTCAAACGTAATAGGACCGTAAATGGGAGGTTGGTCGGCATCAACAAAGTTTGGAAGTGATTCGATTACTTGGTCATGTGGTGGTGAAAGAAATGTTGCAATTGACATACGTATCCCTGCACCCTTGCATTGAACTCGATGTTGCACATTGCGTAGAATCCCGTTGCTCCATAGCTTTCATGGCACCAACAATCATTAGTCAACAATGTACGTTGGTGAAGAAAATAGTATTCAATTAAATGATCATTTATCACGTTTTTGAATTGATTAATTTTACTACTCCCTCCGTCCCTAAATTACATTCCTCTTTCTACAGAGAAAGAGGAATGTAATTTAGGGACGGAGGGAGTACAACTTATTACATTTGGAGGTAATTTAAGTTAACTTACTGTTGCAGCGTCTCCAAAATTAACAACAAGAGTTCCTGGTAAGTAATCAGCAGCAACATATTTACCCGTTTCATTCATAACTTGGAGTCCACCAATATTTTCATCATCTTGAAGAATTGTTAGAAATCCAGAATCTGTGTGGTTCTGTACTCCTGAGGAGCCTATACTTTCTGGAGTGAAGTTGTATTTATTCATCCTCAATGTACAACTCCAACCTTCGAAATTGTAATCTTCGACGCCCATGCTTTTCGCCATTTTTCTTGCCATATCGATCGAAAACTCGTACATTGCTTCAGCATAACTCTCTATTATCTCCCTGTTTGCAATCTTAGATTTAAATCATTCTCATAAATTATAAATTTCAATGTAAATACAGGTCAAGTTCAACTGATGAGCTCAAGTTCAGAACTTAATTGCCTCGTAATGACTCTAAGGTCCACTAAAATAATGTTCAGTTCAACTTAATTATTTAAGCAGTTCAGTGCTTACAGAGTATGTCAAACATCAGGAACCTCTAATTAAGATTATTATGGATCTGAGTAGTTCCAATTTTATCACTCTTCCGTTAGTCTAGTTGGTTAGGATACTCGGCTCTCACCCGAGAGACCCGGGTTCAAGTCCCGGCAACGGAATGTTTATTTTTCTTTTGTGGACTAGCCAAAGGCTATATATAATTATAGAGTTATTATACAACTACACACATTTCATAACTGCCTTATATGGAAAACAAATTGTCTCCCTTCTTGCATAAGTCACGCTATTAGTCTTAAAATAGGTTAGGTATCATGACATGCACGGTATATTTTAATTTTTATTATTAAATTAGTATTATATTCAATAAAAAAAATTCTAAAACTACTGTGAATAAATCATTTTCCAAAATATAGTTTTTCTTCTTCTTATTTCATATCTTTACAAAAATTTAAATATTGAATATCACGTGAAAGAGTTGTTTTTACTTTAGTCAAATGAGTATTTTAAAATTATGTCGAATGATTGCATTTTAAAACGATTGGTAATTATCAATTGATTATCATCTTAACAATCGGTAATTAGCGACCGTTTTAAAATCATTTGCTAATATTTTACTTTACCGACTGCTTTGACGATTGCCGTTAATAGTATTGATCACTACAAACACGTTTTCTTGTAGTGGTCTTTGATCGTATGGGTAATTTTAAATTTTCATAGACAAATTGATGTATCCTTTTTATTTCTTATTATTAATCAAAGAGGTATTTATATTCATATATTGGTTTTTTTTCCTAATTCAGTAATTATTCTTAAAAAATACATTCTCAAAGTTTGCATATTTTAAAGTAATTATATGTTGCCAAAACATATACTTATTGTAGTTGCATATCCTAAAATATAAAAGATTTACAAAAGATTTTATACATAATAATAATAATAATAATAATAATAATAATAATAATAATAATAAATTACAAAAAAAAAAAACTAAGGATACACCAGAAATTGACACCTGTCATTGATGGTGTGTCTCTTAGTTTATAGTTATTGATTGACTAGTTTGGTGCCCGTGCGATGCCCGAGTTGTTTATTTAATTTTAAAATAATTTTTTCTATCGATGTATCAAGTTTCTAAAATGTATCATTGATACAAAATTAGTAAGGAATTGATGGTTTTATAACAATTCTTGACCCGTACCCTCAACTCCTCAAGTGACTCGACCCGAAACAACCCAGAACTCGACCTGCTAATTGACAGGTTTACATACAATAATAAAAAAACATAACTTTTTTTTAAAAAAAAAAATCTATAACTTGTATACACATATGATATATCCTATGCATTAGCATGGGTGCGTTCTAGTATATTTTAAGGTCCTGTTTAATTTGTTCATCTTATTTCCACTTATTTCAAGGTTAATAAGTTCAGATAAGATAAGTTCAAGAAAAATAAATTTAGATAAGTTGTAATAAGGGTTAATCAAGGCTACCAAGTTAAATTTATAACTAAAATAAGTTCTAATAAGGGTTAATAAGTTCTAATAAGAGCTAATAAGTTCGGATAACTTCAGATAAGTAAAAATCAGGTGAGTAGAACACACCCGATCGGCCGATCATTAATTTAACGTAGTGAATTGTAAGTCATTTATTAGTGGCGTAATGAGCCAAAGACCATACAAATTACAAATAGGGGTACGTAGGGGGATTACATGTACCTTTGTTGTGAAGAAACTCGAAGCTGAGAGCAAAAGTTAGAGACCGAGGCCGACGAAGCAACGTCGAAAAGTCCCAAGGATTCATAAAGTGGGTTCTTTTCGGATGGAGCTAAGTACCCAGTCCCTGGGATTACATCTACATTCCGCTGTTTGATTTCAAGAGGAAGATCGAGCAGTTGTTCTACTACTGATTTCATTTCTCCCATTAATTTAAGGGGTATCCCATGATTTACCACTCTAAAACAACCCCATTTTTCACCAACTTCCCTTAATTTTTTTGGCTTTCTTTCAACTTTGAGTACATCTATTACTGGAATTGAGCCTTCCATGTTAGGCACGTAGTAAATTACTATACTGTGAGATTTTTTGTAACGATATAAATATAGTAATAAGTAAGCAAATAAAATGATAATAAATACTTATTTTGATGTTGTGAAGTATATAAAACTAAAATTGCCAAGTCGTGGTGAACCAATGTCTTGTGTGTTTACATAATGGCAGTTTATATAGCAATATATGAAGGAAAAAGGTTAGCCATCAAGACAAGAAATGGCCACAATAAAGGAGAGTAATTGCGACTTAATGTGTAATTAAGAGCATGCCTACCGAATTAATCAACCATAGAGTGCTAACACTCAACTATTATTGGGTAGACATTTTAACAGTCATACGTTAGTATATATATTCCAAAAATGGGCAGTCAGAGAAGAAAAACGGGTATCAAACAAAATAAGGGCCCACACCTAACCTTGTTCACCTGAATGTCCTGAATCATGGCAATTGGCACACTAAAAAAAAAAAAAATATTTAGGGCCTATTTTGATTAACTGAACTCAGCTGATCGAAGTGAACTGAATGTTTAAGAATATAAAACTAATTTATGAATATAGAGGTAATTAAATATGCAATCAATGTCTTCATTCCTAATTTCCTATAAACTACCTTCGTTAACAGTTATTTGCAACAAAGAGGGTATGCGTGGACTATTAGGCAAATGGATTGTACAAATCCTACTTTCTAATAATCATTTCAATAAATATTTTATTGACAAATTCAACATTAATCAACCATTCTTAGTCAAAAAAACACAAAAGCATATACTACGTATATGTTAAGATGATTACATGCTAAACATAATCAGCAAAAGACTTGGTTTAGAATAATGAACCTCCCTTTAATTAAATCAATTAAATCAAGGGACGTGAATGAGCCTCTTCATTATCCTTGGGACTGCTTCTAGAAATTTAGGAAAAAAGATGTCAATACAACTCACTAATATAAGCAGCTAGCTAGTTACAATCTATCGATTGAAAATGAAGTATCATATGTCAAACTAGTACAACGACATGTGTAATGTTGACTGTTTTATTTATTTTAGGGCAGAAAGAGTATAAACTGATACAAAAATAAGGTCAAACTAGTGCATCGACATATCATCACATCACATGTGTACAAAAGTTGATCAAGCAATTCCTTAAAAAGAAATTAAAACAAGAAAACTTCCTTAAAAAAAATGAGTAAAGGGTACCTTTGGTGGGGAGAAGCTTGAAGCTGAGAACAAAAGTTGGAAACAGAAAGAGAAGAAGCAACATTAAAAAGACCCAAAGCTTCATAAATTTTATGGACTTTTCTTCAATTTGGTGTGCATCTATTACTGGGATTTTTCCTTCCATTTTCTCACTCCTCTTTTTCTTTGTTTTTTTTTTTAATGCTTGGTGAGTGTAAAAAATTAATAGATTGTGTCATTTTGTAGCTGATGTATATTATATTATTATCCTTCAAAATTTTTGATTTTTTTTTCATCTGGAAAATAAAATTTGCCGAAATGTTTACCATGATCCCTAATATCCTTTAGGAGTCCAATTAGCTAGATAGAACCATCCAATTTGTCTTTAAACGACCAAATTTACTGGTTTACAACTTACACCTATTTCATTAACTCAAGCTTACCACGAACATTTATGACAACATATAATGATCATATATGGATCCAATCAGCATTATATGACCCCGAGATGTATCGCCTAAAATCTCAATGTTTTTCGACACCGAGCCTCGAAACATTCGAAATTTATCAAAAAACGTAGATATTAGCCTTCAATTTTGGAATTTTTTGACTTTTTTTCGCCCGAATATAAAAATTGCCGAAATGTTTACCATGGTCCCTAATATCCTCCGGGAGTCCAATTGGGTGGGTGAAACCATCCAATTTGCCTTTAAACGGCTAATTTACTAGTTTACAACTTGCAATGATTTCATTAACTCAAGTCTACCAAGAACATTTATACCATTAATAATGATCATATATGATTCCAATCGGCATTATATGACCCCGAGATATATTCCCCTAACTTTTCGACACCGGACCCGAAACCTCCAAAGTTTCTCAAAAAGTGTGGATATAATCCTTTAATTTTGAAATTTTTTGACTTTTTTTTGCCAGGAAATTAAAATTGGCAAAATGTTTACCATGATCTCTAATATTCTTTGGGAGATCAATTGGGTGGGTGGAACCATCCAATTTGCCTTTAAACAACCAATTTACTGGTTTACAATTTGCACCGATTTCATTAACTCAAGCCTACCACGAACATTTATGACAACATATAATGATCATTTATGATTCCAAACGACATTACATGACCCCTAGATGTATCCCCTAAAATTTTATTTCTTTTCGACACCGGGCCCCGAAACTTTCGAAATTTCTAAAAAAACATGAATATTAGCCTTTAATTTGGGAATTTTTTGTCTTTTTTTTGCACGGAAATAAAAATTTTCGAAATGTTTACCATGGTCCCTAATACCCCAGGGAGTGGAATTGTGTGGGTAGAACCATGCAATTTGCCTTTAAACGACCAATTTATTGGTTTACATCTTGCACCGATTTCGTTAACTCAAGCCTACCACGAACATTTATGACAACAAATAATGATCTTATATGGTTCCAAACAGCATTATATGACCCCGAGATGTATCCCATAGAATTTCAAGACTTTTCGACACCGGACCCCGAAACCTCCAAAATTTCTCAAAAAGCGTGGATATTAGCCTTTAATTTTGGAATTTTTGACTTTTTTTCGTCTGGAAATAAAAATTGCTTTAATGTTTATTATGGTCCCTAATTCCCCCCGGGAGTCCAATTGGGTGTGGAACCATTCAATTTGCTTTTAAACTACCGATTTACCGGTTTATAACTTGCACCGATTTACCGGTTTACAACGGCCAATTTTATTAATTTGCACCGAACCCAACTTGAACCGAAATTGACTCAAACCCGTTTTAACCCGTCAAAACCCGAATTTAACCCGACTTGTTACTAACCTAACCTGAATTCAACCCGACCCGTTCTAACCCGACCCGAATTTAACCCAACCTGTTACAAACCCGACCGAAATTAACCCGATTTGTTATTGATCAGACCCAAATTTTACCATACCGATTACTTACCCAACCCAAAATTTCAACCCGATCTATTACTAAGCCGACTCGAAATTAACACGACTTGTTATTGACCCGACCTAAATTCAATCCAAATTGTTCCTGATCTGATTTCAAATCACCTTAAATGCAATTTAGACCACCTTATTATTGTTGATCAAAGCATTTTGTCTTGGGATTACTTTTTCTAATATTTCCAACATTAAATAGTTCCTTTTATACTTCCATGTAGACAGGAATAACAGTCTAGATGAATAGATCAAGTTCCATGGTGAAATCTTTAATCAATACAAGTCCTTGAACGAGGAAATAGGTTAAAACTAGGCATATATAGAACATCTTAATTCTTAACTACTCTTTGTATTATCAAGACGTAGCAATTCTAAGACTTCCCCTGCATGCAGCTTCTTTGACATGCGAAGGCCCCTTAACCCTTCAAACGTAATGGGACCGTAAATGCGAGGGTGCTCAGCATCAACAAACTTTGGAACTGATTCGATTACTTCGTCGGGTGGTGGTGAAAGAAAGGTTGCAATTGATATACGTATCCCTGCACTCTTGCATTGAACTTGATGTCGCACATTGCGTAGAATCCCGTTGCTCCATAGCTTTCGCAGTACCGATGCAACAATCATTAGCTAGCTAGTCAATTAAACAATGCCGATAAAGAAGAAGTATTCAAGTCACACACTCACACCTAAATGATCAATTGTCATGTTTTTGAGTCGATTAAGATTGATTTTTGTTTCTTATTTAGAGAATTTAAAACATAATATGTTGGAACGTGTGAGTATATCTAAACTAGAATTTATAAAATTGAGAAAAACTACCCTAAATCCAATTTTTAGGTATCAGAACGTATTGTAATCAACTTTTGATGATTAAAATTTCTTTACTAACTTAAGACTTGTTTTGATTAACTGAACTGATTAAAAACTGAACTGAATTTAATTAAACTAAGCTGAAATGAATTGTGTATGAGAAAAGAAAATTAGGAACTGAACTAAACTGCAATTAAGTTAAAGAGAACAAGCCCTTAGACTATATCAGTTTCAAGTAGCACTGTCAAAACGGTTTGACAGTTCCGGTTCGGTTCGGTTTGAAATCGGTTCGGTATTAAATCAGGTCGGTTTAAAATCGGTTTAAGTGTATCGCGGGTCGGTTTCAGTTCGGTTTAAATAGTTATCAGTTCGATTCGGTTTCGGTTTATTATTGAGCGGTTTTAATTCGGTTCGGGTTGTAAACGGTTCGGTACAGCTGTGTTGCGGTTTGTTAACGGTTCGGTGTAAACGGTTTTTATACCGATTCAAACAGTTTTGGGTTAGAAACGGTTTTGAGTTAGAAACGGTTCGGTTCCTTTTCGGTTCAGTTTTATTTTGGTTCGGTTTGTTAACGTGTTTTCCTTTTATACGATTTAGCGTTATTCGGATCAGTTCCATTTCACGTTTACTAAATTATGGTTCAGAACGGGTTTTTTATTTCAAAAAGTCGGTTTTTATTCGGGTCGTTTAGATTCGGGCAGTTAAACAATTTTGGTTTGAAATTTCATGGTACTTGCTAACTAACCTTTTGCTGGTTAACAAGTTTTATATCAAGCCGAGACTTCATCACTTCATATTTAGGCATTAGGCATTATATTATATACAAATTCTCATCGATTTTAAAAATACATATCATGTTATTTTCAAGTTTAGACATACTGATGTTACTAGTTTATTACGAAGTAACGTAGATTATAAAAGTTTAGTGTATTAATGAATTAATATTGTTTTACTATCACATTATTAACTACTTCTTATTCAATCATCTAATTGATGTGTCATAATCATGATTTGATGAGTTATTGTGAGATCGAAATTACAGTTTGATTTATAGACAGTTCGGTTTATAAACGGTTCGGTGCAAACGAGTTGCAGTTTGTTAACGGTTCGATGTAAACGGTTTTTACCTCGGTTCAAACGGTTTCGGGTTGGAAACGGTTTCGGGTTAGAAACGGTTCGGTTCTTTTTCGGTTCGGTTTGTTAACGGGTTCGGTTCTTATACGTTTTGACATTATTCGGATCGGTTCGGTTTCGGTTTTACTTAAATACGTTTCGGGTCGGTTTTCGGTTTTATAAAATCAGTTTTTAATCGGTTCGGTTCTCATTTGGGTTGGTTGGTTTCGGGCAGTTAAACGGTTTCGGTTTGAAATTTGACGGCACTAGTTTCAAGGTGTTTTTTCTAGTTTTATGCTACATCAATTTCAAGCGTTAGTTCTAATTTTGACTTTTACTCTAATAGAAGAGAAAATAAATGAAAAAAAAAAAAAAAACCCTAGTACTTGAATGATCTACTTGCAAATTCTAAAATAAATTTTACTAGAGCTTAGGTTTTGTACGGTTGCTTATAAAAAATGGAGCAATTGGAATTCTCGTGGGTTTGAAAATAAGGGGCTTGTTTGGTAGACCCCAAAAAGTAAAAATGTGAGAAGCGTAAAATCATAGTAATTTTCAATTCCCACAAAACATGGGAATTTAATTACCAAGGTCCCTTGGTAATTCAAAGTTCTCATGATTTATAAACACCCATATTTTTTCCTTCAAAAAAAAAAAAAAAAAAAAAAAAACACCCATATTTTTTTTTTATATTTTTTTGACGGGAAATACTGATATAAAAACCAAACAAGTTGAGTAAATTTCTAAGAATTTAATGTGGATTTTAATTCCCATGAAATATAAATGACCATAAAAAATTAATTCCTTTGTCAACCAACCAAACAAGCCGGTGTATTACGTTTGGAGGTTAAAGTAAACTTACCGTTGCGGCGTCTCCAAAATTAACAACGAGAGTTCCTCGCAAGTGATCAGCAGCAACATATTTACCGGACTCATTCATACTTCAAGTCCACCATCATCCTGAAGTATTGTAAGAAATCCAGAATCTGTGTGATTTTGTACACCTTGGGAGCCTATACTTTCCGGAGTGAAGTTGTATTTATTCATCCTCAATGTACAACTCCATCCTTCCAAATTGTCATCTTTCACACCCATGCTTTCGGCCATTTTTCTTGCCATATCGATCGAAAACTTGTACATTGCTTCACCATAACTCTCTATTATCTGCCTGTTTGCAATCTTAGATTTACAGCCACTTAATTTTCTCACGAATTTATTTTCAACTAGTTATGATTCTTAAAGGTCCACTAAAGTTATGTTCACTTCAACTTATTTAAGCAGTTAAGTTTTAAGTGCATACAAATTAAAATGTCAGAACATAACATACGTCCGGATTATAAAAACTTATTGTGATTAGTCCCATTGTTTTCACTCTTCCGTTGTAGTCTAGTTGGTCACGGAATTTTATATTTTTCGAATGTGTATGTCATTTATTAGTGGTGTGATGACTGATGAGCCACCAGGACAATACAAATTATAAATGGGGGTGAGGGATTACATGTACCTTTGTTGGGGAGAAACTCGAAGCTGAGAGCAAAAGGTAGAGACCGAGGCCGAAGAAGCAACGTCGAAAAGTCCTAAGGATTCATAAAGTGGGTTCTTTTCAGATGGAGCTACATACCCACTCCCTGGGATAACATCCACATTCTGCTGTTTGACTTCAAGTGGAAGATCATGCAATTGTCCTACAGCTGATTTCATATCTGCTAGTAATTTAAGGGGTACCCCATGATTTACCACTCTAAAACAACCCCATTTTTCACCAACTTCCCTTAATTTTTTTGGCTTTCTTTCAACTTTGAGTACATCTATTTCTGGAATTGAGCCTTCCATTTTAGGCACGTTGTAATAGATTGTGAGATTCTTGTAAAGATATTAAGACTCAAGTTTAATGTACTACGTACGATATCAATTTTGTGAGGCTAGAATTGGATGTTCCAATACCCTTTTTTTTTTTTTTTTTTTTTTTGTACCTTCTGCCTTCTCCTACACACGTGAACTAATTCACATTCGGGTCATTTTGTGGCTTGTTAGTCTCATTGGCCTGTCGGTAACTTGTTAGGAATTTAGGATGATACATTTGGCTGCATAGTAAACATTTTGCTCGCAATAGTTCGATACTCCATACACAATACTACGAAGTAACATTTGTTTTAACAAAAATTCGTCATTGTAATTTAAAGGCCATGTATGGCACCCTGTATACCAAAATCAATTTTCCAAACACTATCATCTATCAGATTAACATAAAAATAAAGTACAAATATTTCGTAAATATTGAAAACGAAAGCAAAGATGAAAATGATACTGGTCAAGTATATGTACAAAACATTCATACATCTTTGATTGAACGTTCGACACGAACGTCATATCATTCATAAAGGGAAATGAAAATTCCCCAAGATCTAAAAATAGACAAACAAGGAAAACCTTGGTTTGCCAGGAAATATAGGTATAAACTACCTCCTAATCTTCCTAACTGTAAAACTCCCGAATAACATCGAGACAGAAAGCAAAGGCTTCCCTACTGTTAAAAAGACCTAACCATTACAATAAAGGCGAGATTAAATAATAAATGTTAATGTAAGAAGAGTAACAAAAAATATACACAAATTTCATATTTCTGCCTATACAGTTCGATGATCATCGCATAACCACCAAAGCCCTGAAAGTGGAAGAGACTGACATACATGAAACCTAGAGCAAGATGGTTCAATGGCATCATGAATCTACAACTACTCTGTCAGACAACCACAATAGAGGAACACAAGGCATTCCTAAAGCTCAACCAAGGTATCCCCGGCTCAGGAAAATTGACTCGTCCATCTTCAAGGTAACAAGATATACAACTTACATGGAATGACGGCCATCAGATTTATCTCTTGGTGTTGGTCTTTCATCTTGGATCTCCTCAAGATCTTCGTCATCCCCTCTTCTACCTGCTTGCTCCTTCCAATAAGCAACGAGCTTCTTCAGCCTAGCAACTTCTTTTGAGGAAACATTTTTGTTCGGATCATTTACAATGGATCGAACTCTAGATGCATACCTGGAGTTGAAGCATAGATGAAAATTAAACATATGAAAATCAAATGACACGTCAGTTTAGCTATAGCATGTCAAGGACAAGTCTGAAGTCTCCTATATTTTTAGTAGTACAGCTTCTAAATCATTGGTTGATGCTAAAGTTTATACAAAAATCACACCAAAGATCTTTTTTTTTTTTTTAAAATTATTTTCTATTATGTGATTCAGAAGACATAATCAAAAGGAGCAAAAACATATCATGTAAAGGTGGAACATACGTTAGGGAGTTGTAGGTCTCATCTAAATTCGATTCAGCAGGAGACACATTAACAAACATCAGTGTCTTCGCATTGCCACCAAGAGAATCACTCATCAACATTGTTAATTTGTGATTTCTGTATGGTATATGCTGCCCGCCGGTTGATAATGCACTAATAACATCACCAAGAGCCGAAAGTGACTTGTTGATGCTTTGAGCCTCTTTCAATTGACTACCTGCAGATCCTGACTTCTTCACTCGTTCAGATCCAGCAAGATCAACAAAACTTAACTGCAATGGTTGAACTAAACATTAACAAATTATATACGAAATATAGAAGTAGAAACAGCAATACAGTCAAAGTTAGCTGGAGGAAAATCCCTTGCAATTTTCACCACTAATACGCTATAAAACTCACACATGTAAAATAAATACTTGTATGTTCTTAGGTGATGTCATTACCTTTCCTCTAGATACAGATTGCGTTTGAAGATTAGTACTTTCAATGATAATTGAAAGTATAAGATGAGATCTTGAACTTTGCTCATTCATATGGGTTCCTGATATATGTCTTTGCTCAGATCCTTTCTGAATAAGACTTCTCAAATCCTCGTATGTAGAGACATGTACAACAGTCACATTTTCAACATTTACCATCCCCTACACCAATGTTGAAACTATCAGTACCAAAACAGTTTTAATACATTAAGTTACAAAGACTTTTTATAGTCAAGTAACAATAAAACCATATATGACATACAACAAAAGTAACAACAAGAAATGAGTAAAACAAGGGAATGTGCGCTAGTGCAGTATTCTCTAAACACAATTACCTTCGAATCTTTCTTGATGTCTAGTTTCAATCGCTTTGCATTTTTAGGTACTAGAAGATCCATTAATGTATCTTGATACAGCTCCAACATGTAGGCCTACACAATATTTATTATTAACCTTAGTATTGGCTGAAAATTTTTCAGATAGATTGACAATATTTTCAGACATTAACTAATACTTTTAAAATAGTAATGATAAATACAGCAAAGCAAGATGGATACCTTCAATGAAAATGAGAACTTCTTGTTGTCTCTTTTCAAGATTTTAAAAAGTTCCGACGTGGCACGTGGGGTAAGTCCAGGTTCACTTTCTGTTCCATATATGGTATATGTCTTTCCGGAACCAGTTTGACCATAGGCAAATATGCAAACATTAAATCCATCCACAGCAGATTGCACTAAATACTGCATAAAATTAGAAATTCATATAGTCAACACTTGATAGCATGTTGTGTTACTTTAAGACTAGCATGCTGAATCACCAGAAGACTACAGACACATGAGATTACATAAACTCACTCTTTCTTAAAATAAACGAAAACATGTATTCAAAGAAAACAATATACACTGTAAAAGAATGAAAAAACACTTAACATAAAAGGTACATTTACTAATCATTACTTACCCTGGTATCCTCGAAAACATCGTCTTGGGTCGCACTTCCATCAAAAACATGATCATAAATATGTTGCTTTGCCTTTTCATCTTTCCATGGATGTTCAACTGTAAATTCGTCTGAGCTTATGACAATGCTCCTTTCATTATCAGTCTTTTCTTTACCACTTAGTGGCCTTACACGACAATAGACTCTAATCTTGCCTTTCATGTCTGTACAAAGTAAAATGACAAGTCAATACATATCAATATTAACTCTTATCACAAGAGTGTAATTGATGTCTATTAACATTAAATAAACACCTTCAATCATGTTAAAATATCTCTTCCTCGCTGCTTGTTCTTCCTTATACAGCACTTCCAACTCGGACAATTGTGCAGCTTGCATTTTCAGGATAGCAGCAGTTTGCTCATTTTTTCTATCAATATCCTACAAGAAAGCAATAATATACAGCTTCAAGGCATTACACATCTCACAACTGAACAAAATTATGCAATGAGGAAGGAGACCTTAGAACATGTAGAGGTAACTTATTAATAATTTCAACAGATTAAGATATATTACCGCTTTCATTTCCCTGAGTTCCTCTAGCTCTCTCAGATTATTTTGTAAGACAGACAGATCAGACTCTTTGGCTTCAAGTTTTGATTCGGCGATCTCTAAATCATTTTTCATCCCCTCCAATCTCTTCTCAAGTTCAGAGATTTGAAGCTTCAAGATTTGTCGTTCTTTCTCAAAATCTTTCCCAACGTTCTCATTCTGAAATCAAGCAGCAATATGACTTAATATTTAATATCCAACAAGAACAAATGAAGAACCAAAATCAGAGGCATAGTGTTACTTCCTCTGTATGACTAAGTATCTAATGTCTAAGAGCACGAAAATAAGAACCAAAACCAAAGGAATAGTGTTACCTCTTCTGTATGTTTCCTTTCAAGCCTTCGAATATTTTGTTCCATCGATAACTTCTCTTCTACAAGTCTCTTGACTGTTAGTTCAGCACGATGCAATTCTTCACTTCGCACTCTCAACTCATCTTGTATTTTACACAAATCCTGCTTAAACATGATCGGTTATTGATATGCACGTAATGCAAGAAGCTATGAATAAGTGCAATTAAAGTGTCCTATTTACCTGATTATTTGTCCCTGGCAAGTCCTGCTGCGCATTTTGCTCAGATAATGTATCGTTGAGCTTTGCTAATTTCAATTCCAGGCTATTTTTCTCCATCACTGCTGACTGGACAGTACAAATTATATCATAAAAATGAAACAGGAAAAGTACATCATAGCTGCAGGTAGTTAAACAGAAAGGAAGCATACTGCATACCTGAAGTGCAGCTTCCTTTTCATCGTATAAGGAGCTCAGCCTGTCACGTTCAGCTGTCATCTTTCCCACATTACGCCTCTCAATCTTTAAGGATTCTTTCAAGGCACTCAACTCTTCTTGCAAATTCTCCTCTACCTTTTGTTTTTCTTTTAACTCTCCTGATAACTGAAATAAACAAGCACATTGATTAGTGTCAATCATATCCTTCAACTTTAAGTTAGTGATTCCTTGTCACACTTTAAAAAATAAATTAATAAACCATATTATCTAACGTACAGCAACATTTCTACCAAAACACATAATTTAATTTCCATATTTCAGTAACTTCAAGTTCTGTGACTTTTCTACAGCTTTTGGAGCTTAAAGCTTCCATCCAGATTTTCTAGCAAACAAAGCCAAATGCATAAACGAAAGCACTGCTTCATCCTTTCACTATCCCCATATATTTTTTTCACAACTACATGTAATAGATGGTACCTGTTAAATCTATCAAAATACCTCAAACTTTGAAGCAGAATATATACAACAAAGAAGAAGTGGGTGGAATCACATACTTGATCAATATGCTTTTGAGATTCTTCAATAGAGTTGTACAAATCTTGAAGTTGCTTCTCATAAGCTTCGGCAGTCGGAGTAGCAGCAGGAGGCTTAGAACTGTTGGGAGCTTCTCCATTTGTTGCATTGTTGGCAACAGTTCTTGCTTTAGAATAGCGTCGCAACATTACATCGTTTATGTGCGTTTGAAGAGCAACACATATTTCTTCACCCTGGA